GGTTTTGTTTCCCCTTAATTTTATCATTATGCTCGAATATATCCTGCTTACCTGTGAGCCTACTTCGATAACATGGCAAACTGTAAGCGATTGGTTTATATGAATAGGTGATAATTAGTGGGGTTTGAATTTCTAGGAAAATCCTGTGAAGTCACATACATTGTGACGCTTTTGGAATTTTAAGGCGCAACATTTGAATGCACTTATTTCATCACTCCTTGTACAATCACAACATTTTGTTTATTAATTTTTGTCAAGAGAGTTGTTAAGAAGAAAATAAACACACGCACTTTTGAGGCATTTTGCCAGGAGGCATATCGATACTGAAGAGTTTCGTTTGGCATTTCAAATTAGGCTGTTGGATAAGTATAGGCGTTATTTCCATGAAACGTGCATGAAGCCGGTGAAGAGTATCTCTATATTAAAATCCTGACTGAAATGAGCGGATATAGAGGCAAGATTGATACGTACCAATTTTCGGATAGGTATGTCAAATTTCCAGTATTAACTGTCCTATATTTGTTTGCGTTAGTTCCTTTGCTGACGTAGCCCTAGCTAGGCTTTTTGAAAATGCAGAAATGAATGAATGCCCAATAGAGCAATTTTTTGTACTTGTAATGAAAACTTTTCTAGGGCAACTCAAAGGTTTTACAGTAAGTGAAAAATATTGCAGCTACGCTTGCTTTACGGCCAATCCACTAGAGCCCAGGTTTTCGCATTTTGGTCTAACTTTGCTGACGAAAATACTTCCAAAATCAATGAGTGCCAAAGACTTGTATATTGCACAACAGAACTCCACTTTGCGAAAGGTCTTTGGCAACCCCTTTTCACTCTGACATCCGTGTTACATCACCGGAAAGGCGCAGAAAAAACCAAAAAACTGACTTTAGTTCAGTTTCATTCAGTTTCACAACATGGTGGTGCGATTTCTTAAACATTGTAAGACTACATTGGATACGATGGTGTCTCATCGCCCAGAATTCAGCGACATATCCGGGACTTTCATTGAGACGCTGGCGCTAAATTTAAAAGCTAATTAGAAAATGATTGTCAAACAATAAAGGAAAAGGGCTGAAAATGTCGAAGAAGGCTTACGTTCTCTTCGTTTACGGATAAACTACTTTTCAAATGCTACTTTTACCATATGGCTTTTAAAGAAGAAAGTTCAATTGAACAGTGTATCATTCTCACTTTGTTCTTGCACTTTCAGAAGAGGTCGCAAATTTGCCTTGAAAATTGACAATGTTAGCATCCTGCTTGTATGAGAAGTCGATCTCGGCGCACTTTCGGGCGTAATTTATCTTCACTCAATTGCTAGATTTCTCTTTTACCATACGGTTATTTTTATTTGACATTCTAGAAAGCGTCATAGAAATTTCCAAGGGATTCCAAACTTTGGAAGTAGTCGCAAAAAGCGAATTTCGAAAACGTTTGCTCAGCATCGTAGTGTTCTATCCAAATTTGTCCTTTGGAGACCCCCACGAGTATACAAGTGACCTATTTTAAACTTCCCGCGAGAATATCAAGGTATGCTAAGCTCCGCCTCCGCAAACAATCGCGCACACGCCGCCTAATTAGTATTGAAATTGAGGTGGTAACTAGACAATGCTTAAAAAACTGTAAAAGCTTTTAAGATATGATCGCTGCGATCGCTGCAAAAATATTCAGCAATCGTTACTATCATATGGAAACCACACTCCTATTATTGTCGCAAGATAGACTTTAGTTCTATCTCGACGATCGTCGCAATCACAAGCCGGTTGTCGGAAGCATCGCTCATATTTTTCATTAGTAATGAAACTCATAATCTACATGGCTAGAAATCGAAGACATCATGGCGGCTAAGCATGCGCATAAAAGACAAATTACGGAGTTTAAATATGGCGGCTGCATAAGGCTTTCTGTGGGAAAATTTTGAAAATCAGACACAGTAATTTTCTGGAAGCATGTACTAAAAATTCCCTCGTCTGAAATGTATTAGAAGAGTGTCCAGATCACTCACCTCCGTTCTCAAACTCTTACGATTTCGCTACGATCTGCCCCAGTCGAAGAAACTTTAAACCTTTTTGGTGCCCTAAGTGTCTTAAAATGGCTTATGTTGGTCAGCTAAAGCTTCTCCTGCAGCCACAACAAGGGTTGTTTTATCCATTGCCCACGTCTGTTCGATCTCTTCGAAAGCCGACCTTCTAATTGAAGGCTATTTGAAGTCATAAAAGTGTGAATCCACGCTGCCAAACGACTTCCAAAAGTCCAAAAAATTTTTTTTTCTTATGGGTCTTGTTCCCAGTAGAGACGTTGACTCAAAAACTAAAATTATAAGATCTGAAAACATATCAAAGAACTCTTCGAGCGCCATTTTGTAAAAACATAGTAACCTAGCCTGTTATGGACAATACCGCTACAGGGCAGCTACTGAAGGCTCAAAGATTGACATAGATTGCAGCATTGGCGCGAAAATAATTTGACTTGAAAAACAAAATAGTAAGCTTCTTACTTGGACAAGATTTTAACAGCTTCTCAAGCAATATCTCGGAAAGAAAATAATAAAGAAGTTATCAGCGCTGCAAAATGTCTGATACACCTCCATTTGATTCATTTTTAAAATGGAAGTTGGGGATTTATCTATCGAGCGCTTAACATTAAGTCTTTAAAATGCCCCAGGAATTTTAGACGTCATCTTGCAAACGTTTTATTAAGTTGATATATTATATTATTGATATATATTTTGTAATTATAATATTATTGTATTTACATTCTCAATTAATTTATATATTTGTATTTTTTTTTTCTATTGAGCTGAAAAGCCCACTTAGGGAGCATCAATAAAGTATATGTATGTATGTATGTATGTAAAAGGTAATTTCCGACATCTTTTGATGTTTGATTTTAGTGGGATGCGCAGACGCAGTAAGGTGAAACGCAGCTCGTGTTGCGTCCGCGATATCAGCCGCTGACTGACCTTGATTTCTAGCCACGTAGGTAAGCGATCCAATCTTAGTTCAGCATGAAAACAATTAAGATATTTGTACCCTAAGCTGCAAACGTTGCGAATACACGAGAAGGCGAAGAAACCAATAGTCCCTCTTCCTGACTAGTGCGAACGCAGTCTTATTTCTGTCATTTCTTGGGAACCTGTTTCACGAACAACTCAAAGCAAAAGCAAATTAACAAAGCAAATTATCCTTAGTTTCGGTTTCAATAAATCCGACAGTTTTGCCCATGCAAACTGCTTAAAAACGATGACGATGTTGATGATGCAAACGTGTACCCATTCGTAGAAAAACCTGACCTTTGTGATCGTATTAGCGGAAATCGCGCTAAAAATTTTTGCATCTAAAAGCATCCCCATTGCAAATAGCGCCCTCATCCTCATCCAAATGAATTGACGAATCTCTTCAAACCGAGCATTTCCATATACATTTCCCTTCGAGTAGACAAACAAAAGTTTTTCATTGGTAGATTTTTTATCCTCCGAGTTCATCCGGCTCCTTTCAGTTGAGTTTAACATCGTTCTTTAGTGTGGAACCATGAAGAGATTGTCTCTGGGAATAGATTGCGTTGGGACCTGTCTGCTCCTGTCTGAGGAACTTGACGGTTGATTTTCGGGTTTTGAACATGACAAATTTTTCAGACAATCCTAACACGGTGGTAGCCCAGTCATAAAATGCCTTTGTTTTTTTGTCGTCTTCTTTTTTCCTCCGCCACAAAATGGGAAAATTACGCAATAGTACCCAGTGGTCATTGGGCCCTCAACACCATGACAACTAACTGTGATCCAATGAGGTGTCTTAATGATGACTGACGTTGTCATGCACGGACAGGGCCGGGTCACATGACGAACCACGAGATTTTTGCTCATAAAACTCTTTTGTCAGTCGTTTTGTATTTCAACGTGTTGGATGACGATCACTTGGAGCATTGTGGCGCAAACGCTCAAAATACTTACAGACGCATACACGAGTCGTATTGTTCGCGGCCAATCCACACTAAAAGATGTTATTGAGCGGTAATTTTGGAACAGATTGAGTCGCGAACACTTGAAAGCCATGAAAGCCTTGAATGCCTTGTATGCCTTGTATGCCTTGTATGCCAAGTATGCCAATGTCTCGGTTGAAAAACGTACACTTGTTGTAAAAAGTAAAATCTGAAATCTGAAACCAAACTGCATATACTCTATGCAATCTATTGAACAACACTACTACCGTGAGACTGAAGAATAAAACTCTAATGGATGCAAACTGCTTGTGAAGAAAGACGCCATGTTGGATTCACTTGATGCCAGGGAATATAGCTACGATAACAGTGCGAATGGTATTAATTTCACGATCAGAAAGGTGAATCTTATGTTTGTGTTCATTGTAGTTGTATGGATATTCTTTTTTAATAAATACATAGTCCAAAATCCTGTTTTTTTTTTTGTATAATGTTATTATGTTAAGTAATGTTTACGCAATTGTCTTGTCACAGGCAGCCCACGCTTACCCCTCGAGAAAAAGCCAATGATTAATTCATGAACGCGTCACGCGTTGTGTGACTCGGTGTTAAGTTACGAGAGGAACCGTTGAAAATTTGAACACGTTATAAGGATTAGCATAAGGAACGAAATATGGTCGATTTACAACGATAAATATTTCGAAATATGAAAATTTTTCTCGTAAAATCAATAAAACTTACTCATACCCCGTGTATCCGTTGTAGTTTCTGGAGATTTCTGCCGTTTTAAGCTTGCTCAGTACCATCACTGTTATTCGCGTCATCTGCTTTTATTACGTTGGTAAAATCTGTACAGACATCACACCAACCAACTCGCGCGCAAAGTAAGAAGACTACATTGAAGGCTTGAAATTATATTATGATCGATTTTCATCAAGAAATAGGCCAGTAATTTTCCACAATAGTATACATATTATATTAATATATTCTGTTGTGCAGTTCTGTTGTGCAAATATCCGGCAGGCACCAAACTCGCCCCAAGCCCTCACGATATGAAATCCGGCGACCGACGATATTCACGAAGTTTGATACCTCACACATTTTCCATTTGTATCGTGTACCTGGTGGACTATACGGTCGACACGGCCAAACAATAATCAGCGACGAACTTGTTGTGGAATCAAGTTTCTTTCTAACGGCGAGCGACATACAATAAGGTGAGTGACAAGTAAAGTTACTATATATCAAAGTGCTCTGTAAGCAAACTCGTGAATTGACACATCAATTTTTGGATTATGTTTAATGTTATTTGGTTTAGAGAATTTTGTGGTTGATTGTCATATCTAGAGTACGAGCAGTAGTTCAGTGTTCGCTAATGTAGCAAAGAAACAAAGTAACGTTGGGATAAGAAGGCATTACAAATGAAATGATCATGCTATTGCATTTGGCAAGGGTAGATGATGTCATGTGTTTTAAACGTATATCATTTCTGTTTCTGGTTCAAAAGAAAAGGTTGGAAGTAAATGTGGGTAAAAAGTGAAATTCACTGTCTATCATTGTAAATATTAGAAAATCAAGGCAATACTGTCTTAATGAAAACATTAACGATTCCCTCTTTAACAAATGAGACAAACGGGAACGAGTGATATAACTAAGCCAAGACTGCCACTGTCATTTTGGATCTCCGCCAGGGCAGATTTTAGTCACGTGCTAGGCAACGTACTGAATCAATAACAAGATAGAATTTCATTTCAGGCCTATTTATCAATTTTGTGGTGTATAACTTTCGCATCAGGGAAAAATTTTAGAATGAAATTCTATTAATTGTTTTATTATACATTTTTTTAACAATATGCAAAAGAAGACACTCTACACGGACGAGGGGCTTGGACGTGATGAGCCAATATCTGCTGCAGATACTGGGTTATCTTGTCAACTTCACACGCTATGCTCTCCCTTAGTCAGAGTTTTCATTGTAAGTCTAATGTATAATAATTTCCTTTGTAGCTCGTTTGCTGAGTCGCTACATAGTTGTCTTTCAGTTTGAAGAATGGATTTCCTTCATACCATAGAAATGGCGCTCCCTGCCCTTAGACAACTGCTGACGTTTCTTACCTCACAAGATGGATCAGGAAGGGAAAACACTTTTTTCCACAAAGCACGTGCATTTATTGATAAGGCCATATTCATTTTGGAGCAAATGGAGGATCGAACAAAGAAGCAATGCAGTGCCACGCTTAATTTTATTTTGTCCACTGCTTGGCTAGTTGTGCAAAACTTGCATTCAGGGGAGTTTTTCAGTTCTGTTCGACGTGTCATGAGGGACATTAAAGATGTGTTTAATGGCCAGATACCAAACTACATGACCAGTAGTTATGAAGAACTTCGAAGACTCTTGGATACCACGTCAGTAAAACTGGAAAACATCCGGTCTACCTGTTGTGCAATAATAGAACAGGTGAGATTCCCTATAACAGAGGGAGACTCTAAATTTGATTTATTAATCGCGCACAATGTAAGATACCGTATTTCCTCAAATAAGTGCTAGAAGAAGGGGCGCTTATTGGAAGGCGAGCGCCTTGTCGAGGGGGGCGCTCACCACTCTCCAGTACTGATTCCACTGAAGTTTTAGCTTCGAAATTTATATATAAAGTGGTAGTAGAGAAAGTTTTCTCTGTATAAGAATAGGGTGCTTGTTTACGCTATCGCCTAGTGAGAGGATGCTTGTTCAGTGGAGGGTGCTTCTTAGAGCGTGGGCGCTTTTTCGAGGAGTTACGGCTCTTGAATAAACATTTTTTGAGAGCACGGCTAGTTCTTTATTAAACTGCAATGATTGCACAATGTAGTATTATGTAACATACTGTCTAAAGTAGATTTCATTCGTGTCTTACTTCACAGGTGAACGATTCCGATGAATACAATTGGGCCAGCCTCTTAACTGTTCGCCGCTTGAAGGCGCTTCGTTTGAAGGCTTCTTTTGAGATCAGAGACTGCGAACAAAGTCTTGATAGGGCACATGTGATTATAGAATTGCTACACAGCGAAGTCCAACAACATGGAATTAAACTTGGATTGGGATTCGTACTTGCCGCATTAGTGACCTTTGGTGAGAATATTTTGAAACGAGTCTTAAAAAAAATTAGTTTGCGCAATTATGACCATCATACGTTTATTACTAGCAAATTAAAATAGCCAGGAATTTGTATAGTTTTGAGAGAAGGTAATGTTGACCGAAAGAGCAAGTTCTGGCCCTTTTTTTTAGTCGAGAGCTTGATATAATCCACAAGGTTTCATGCGAAATTGTCAGAACAGCTTATTAGAAATAAGGGAAACAGTACGAGCAACTGGGGGAATCGAAAGCAAAAGCTAGCAGACTGCTTAATCGCGGGAAAAGCCGAATGACCAAGTCGATATTGGTTTAGGCTTTGAATCTGATTCGGTTGAGAAAGTGACCTGATGTTTCTGCACAAGTCACAGAGCAAAGTTAAGCAAACCAAAATTATCCCGGATTACTCTTGACATCCAATAAGTAATTGCTTTGTCATTTGTATTTAGATAATGACTATTTTTCCAACACGTGGTAATCTTTATGCACAGGTTTGGGGTTTGGTGCTGTCCGGGCCGTTCAGCAAGGAGGAGGGCTGAGAGCAGGCATCTTGGGATGCGGTGGAGTAGCCAGTGCAATCTGCTGTGTCATGGTTGCAAGGAGACTCCATGAATATAAAACTGCTTGGGAAGAAGTCAGACGAAGGCGAAGTCAATACCAACAATTAAGCATTCGCTTAGATTGGCTCAGAGAAACAGTAGAAAAAGATCTGCAGGAAGGAGTTCAATTGATGAGCGTGCACGCCTCAGAGAGAATGATAATTATTTTCTCTATAATTTTAGCATATCTTGTCTATATTTTTGTTTATTTTACGGATCAAGTAATTGACCCGCAAAAGATTGAACTATAATATATAACACATAGGAAACGTTTATGGTGTGTTTTCAAGAACCTTTCAAGGCTGCTAACAGCCACTTTGTTGTTGATCTCTCTCTCTCAAACGAAGAAAAACAAAAGATTTTAAACATTTGCTCGTTTTTCTGTGCTTGTGACAAAATGACAAAATTATTGCACCAAACGTTTAATCAGGAAATATTATATATAGTCAACAATATTTTAAAGGTTTAGGAATATTGCTTTTGTTTTTAAACATATTCTGAAGGGTATAATAACGTAATCGAGTACTAGTGCTCTAAATTGAACTAGTGACTCTTATTTAAATTTGCCTAACATGTCTTGCAAGTTATACTCAGTATTTCACTCTGTTGAAAATTTATACATCGCAGAGCCCTACTGAGCAGGTTTTAATTATTCAAAGTCCTTAGCCTTCTCGCACAGACACGTGACACAGCCTTACACCACGTGAGCCTGCGTAAAGTGTCTGACCTCATTATGAACAACGTCATCCTTTCGACAGTTTAAAAGCCCATTCGGAGCAGTCAGGGTCTGAAAAAACCCGAAGGGGGCTGTTTTAGAATTACATTAAACTTGAGAAAAATTGTGTCATGTTTACAATAATTAATGGCGCATATATCATCTTGAAGAACGAATCGTCTCGCCCCCTTTCCGAGCTGTCTGTCGGCCCGCGGCCGAGAGATACACTGAGGCTCGAAGTGCGCTGTGATGTCTCTTCTCTCCTTGTAGTCGTCTCGCTGATCAAGCAGAGTGAAGGTATACCGCGGATATATCGGCCATTTGAGTACGGAGTCGTACTCTCCTACTTGAACCTAAACGAAAAAGTAAAGTTAGGTTATGCGCCGAATAATCCATTCCCAAGTAGATTCAAACCCGTTATATAGCACGAAGCGACTACGGGGTGTGGATGGTACTGTACTGAGTCAATTGCTGGTCACCCCTAGCCTTTGGTCAGGTTCCCCTGACAAAAGGCTAAGGGGTAACCTTCACCGGTAACCATTTACACTCCTAAAGGAATAGGGCACTGAGGGAATAAGTTGTCTGAAAGAAAGTTTTCTTAAGTTTCTTCAGTTCGTACGGTTCGTGTTCGTACAACAGGTCACTTAAGAAAAATACTGACAGCCAGAATCCCCCTCAGAGCATGACCCTTGTACTTGCAAGGTAAGGTTTTTGTGCCATTATGTACATGACAAGTTTTTACGCAGCTTTATTCTTAATCGCTCGTGGGGAGAAGCAAGTGTTATGCTCCTGACTTCCCATGATAATCCTATGGAAGCTCACAGGAACATTGATAATGAAAGTAGTAAAACCCGTAGAGAAATTCCGTCATATTTACTAACCTGAAGCCCCACGGATATGTATCTACCTCTCCCGGTACCAACTCCATTGAGCCACAGCCCTGCACACATTTTATACCCGTGGGGGTGGGTATAGAAAGGCTCACTAATCATCGGTTCGGGCGCGCGCCCAGACTTGGCGTCCATCAATTTCCGGTTGAAATCCGGTATTCTCCAGATGAACTCGCCATTTGCAGTTCGACCTCGCACGTCGATGATTTCTTGTTTTTGTAGCAGTAGGGTTTCTTTCTGAAGCTGAATGTGTTCCTTTTGAAGTTGAATTCTTTCTCTCTGGATGTCTAGTTGTTTCTTTTGAGCATTCACCAAATCACTCAAAGCGCTCAAGTGAGACTCCATGTTGCTGGACAGATGCTCTTTCATTTTGTATCTCTCGGCCTGAAATTAGATAGTTTTTTTAATTATGCGGCGATACTTTGTTACTCCAAGCAAACGTAGAGTTTTGGCCAGAGTATTTGATATTTGATACGCACACAGACAGGCCAATAAATGCTTCGTAAACATTCCAATTGTTTCTCAGTATGCAAAACACGTTATCACGCATTTAAACAAATGAACGGAAAACAGATGTACAAATAGACATTAAAAAGGTAGAACTACATACAGACAGACAGACACTCATACAGAAAGGTGGAGAAACGGATAGGTGGACGGTCGAATAGATCGGAGTTATACACACAGACAGTAAGGCAAAGCAGAAAGATAGAAAAAGACAGGCAGACAGACTACTACACTCTGTTTTTCATGAAGACCTTTTTTAAATGAACGTTCAGACTAAGATTAACTGAATTTTAAGAACATACTAGGAACACACCCAGGCTGAGAGTCAGTTGAGGAAGTCGTTATTTTGCTCATTTTTTTTTTGATAGAAGCATAAATAAATATCAAAGAAATGTAAAACCGTGGTCTTCCAGGACAATTAACTCAAATACACGAGGAATTTTTTTTAATGTCAACAATGTTGTTTTTCTTATTGCTCGATACACTGTAGAACAACTCAATTTGTAGTCGAACTCAATCGATCTTTGAAATACAACTTTAAGAACATGTTAGAGACGTTTTCAGGCTCAAACCGCAAAAAGAAATTAGAACGTTCAGCCTCAGCCCCAAAATTAGTGTAATGACAAAAGTACCAATGTTTGTAAGGAACAAATGCATGCTTAACAACTTTTACCTTAAATGTGCAGCCTGCTTCGACAAATTTGCATGGTACTTCAATGAGGAGACATTCATTGTTCATATGAACCACCAACTACATGGAAAACGAGAGGAAAGGACAAGCAAGTAAATAGGAGTTGAAAACTTTGGCTGGCTATGAGCCTATAGTTTACACTCAGCAAAGAAAACCCGCACATGTGACAAAATGTAGTTGTCCACTTTTAGCGTAATATGATACATGTACCATTCGATTTCAGTCATTCAACCCGTTGAATAGACTCAATTAAACAAAAATCAGAGGAAAACAAGCTATTTCCAGATTCAAGAGTGTAGCGGAAATCGTACATTCACATTCAGCCGTGCACATCTATTCCTTATGGAAATCCGAGCTCTGTGCCTTTTATCAGATATGCCAAGCTTAAAAGCACTTTCATATTCTTCGCCAATTTCCCTTTAATGAAATAACATTTAGACTGGCTAGAGCTCCTAAGAACTTTCTTAAATTATAAATCCATACAAGATTTATCTATTAATTGTCTTGATTTATACTACTGTCTTGCTCTTTAAGAGCTTCGCGCAAACAATCTGTTTGTTATGTCATATCTGGTGACGTCTGTATGGTTCTCAGTTCACAATAAAGTCTGTCTTGGGATGTCCTACCGCAGCAAAATGCACAAACAACAAACGAACACACCTACAAAGCAAAGGAAGGCAAATACAACAGAACACACACAGAAAGAAAATAGAAACATGATTGCATGATTTATCATAGGTACTGAATCAGCAACATAAACAGTGACAATGTTAATGAAATAACAAAACATTGGATTTTGACGTGCTTTGGTCAAAATGCATAAGTTTTAAAGAAAAAAATTGAAAAATCACAGTTGATAATTTAGTTGAAGGGAAGTGGAAGCCTTCACAAACCTTTTCTTTGGTCAGATTAATTGCACCACAGTTAGCTGGGCAAGACACAGGGAACGAGGAACAAGTTTGGAGGTGTAACTGCAATAAAATTTAAACGTAATACATTAGAATGGCAAGCATCGGTGACGCAAATACCAAAATTTTTCAGAGTAGCATTATTTTGCCCACAAGGCGCCTTCATGCCAACAGTGTCACAAAGGGCGCGTGGAGAGGTAGAATCCGACAGTAGAAAGCACGCTATAGTGAATCAGACCACAAGGGCACTGTGGCGGGAACTGTTTAAGGTGGCAAACACGGAACAGGCGGAAAGAAGTATGGGCATGCGTGGACTCTCAAAGCAAGCTCTGTTACGAAAATCGAAAATCGATGAGGAGAAGTAGGGTTAGATAAATTTTCATTACACAAAATCATGGCTGCAGGAGTGGGTTTCGTTTGCACAAACTTGCTATTGTCATATTCAAACATTCATAAAGAATAGTCACCGATTAAGCAAAGTTTAAATACTTACACTCATAAGGTTGAACACAACTTGATTTCCACAGTGAGGGCACGGTGTCAGTCTGTTAATACATTCAAGTGAACTGTGATCTGATACTCTTCTCCTTTCTAATGATACTCCGCAACGTTTTGGACACGATACCTCAGCGTAACTACACACGTCCTGATGTCGCTAAAAAGGTAGTATTAATAATCAGCACTTAAATGGAGTTTTTTAAAAGTACACTAGTTATATTTCTCATGTGCGTGCGAGTGCGCTATGATTGGTCTATTTGGCGGGCCGTATTTCACTGTGCGACCCGCTAAATTGAAAAATGTTAATGAACACAAACGCGTATCGGTGATGAAAAAAAAAGAACCTCACCTCTATTTCACTGAGCGGCCCAGACCACTCACAACCCTTTTCTGTGTTTGAACAAAGAGCCTGTAAGTTTAGAATCTGTCTGTGGCAGCCATTATCAGGGAAAACCTAAAATCAGAATATTTATGACAACTGCTTAAGAATGAAAATACATTATCAAGAATGAAAAGAACTAGTCAGAGCAGCAAAAAATGAAATGACGCAGATTGCAGGCTTTGACACAAACTATTTATGGTCTCTTTAATTTTTTGCATCGTGAAGAATTAAATCTAATATCCGTGCGTTTTTCATTCGCAATCCGCGACAATCTTCATCCCTAGCTTTTCTCGGTCCTCCTCTTTATTTCCTTTCCATTTTGTTGTTTTCCACCATTTTTTTGATAAAATGAAAAAAAGAAACAAACTGACGTAGCGCTTCTCTTTCGATGCCTTAACAAGAACTGTTTTGTTTAGGATGAAAATAACGAAACAGAAAATCAAGCAGCTTGAACATAAAAATATTTATTCATTATTATTAGAATTATATCAGTCATTAAAATTATAGACTTTGGATATGGGATTCTCACCTTCGATGGATCAAAGTTCAGGTTATCAAGGGGGCAGCGAGGCCTCTTGTTTCTAAGATGATGCAAAAAAAAAAAAGAACCAATATAGAATTATGAGAAAGACGAGGTTTATGCCTTAGTAACGGTATTGAGTTTTACTCAAAATACTACTGCTTAGGAAGTTTTTAATATCTGAAACAATTTTTTAAGGTCCAAGCGGGGGGAAGGCTGAGGTCTGGATCCTTGGGCTCACAAACATGAGCCTCATCGGAAAGGGGACCTTTCATTGACATTACAACGAGGGTGGGAGGTGGGGAAGTTGTGTATCAAACGCACTGTGGGGCACAAATGTAAGGCATCGTGAAGAACAAAAACTGAACTGATTTAAAATCGAAATCGAAGTGAAATCAAAGTTTTCAAATTACCTATCGAGTTGAAACAAAATCATACTGAAAAAAGAAAGCGCTGATGACAAATAATTCTCTCATCAAAATTTGTTGGACTGCGCGCCGTATGAAAAAAAGCTCAACATATTAAATCCTTTGATTTCGAGAAGACCAAGCAGAAATTATTTCAAGGTTGATTTCCCAATCAGGCTGAGAGAATATTGGTTAGAACGATGAGATGATAAACTCTCCTAAAATACTGACATAGAGTAGGAAATACAGGTGAAAGAACTCATCAAGTTGAAGAATAGTTGTCGGAGTGCATGAAATAACTAATCCTATGATGTACTAACTGATATTGCCGCAGTGACTACAAATGGAGGATAAATATTTCGATCACTTTACCTTAAAATCGGCTTCAAACAAGTGTTACACATACGATGTCCGCATGGTGTTATTTGAACTGGATCCCGAAGTGCAATCAGACAAATTGGACACTCAAATGCCTTGTCTAACGGTCCAGTGAATTTAACTTCATATCCAGGCATGTCTTTGCACTGTGCAATGAATTTCTGTATAAAAACCGCGTCTCGAACAAGCGATTCAGTGTTGCTTTGACTTCATTCCAGAACTACAGAAGTCAGTAATTGCTATTCTAACTGTGATTCTTTGAAATTCTTCCAAGTATTCAAATGTAATACCTTCTTCGCAAATCCTTTCAGAGAGTCGTTTCGCAACTTGACATTAGAAAAAGGAGAGGCCCATTAGGTCCGTTTCCAAATATCTCTTGACCGATATTTTTTTTCAAAGAGTACTGATATGTTTGGATCTAGCACTGAATGCCTTAAGTTTACGTTTTCGCGTTTCTGTTGAAGATTAAACAAATCAAGCGGTTTGCTTGTGCGTGTAAACTGAAAATTGATAAACAAAGCGAGCCGCGCCCGTCTCAGCGCTAAAGCAAAATAGAAACAATGATCTCATAAATGGTTGTTAACGCGAAATTTTCCACCACACCCTTTAAACTATCAATATCTGCCTTTCCAATAATTCTTTAGGACTTTGCTTTTGCTATGTTTTGATAAAGGAAAGAAAATGTAACAGTGTCAATTGTCCATTTTATCAACGAACACACAAGCAACATCTTAACAAGAGGAGTTTCACCAAACTTTGATTCTCACAGGTCGTGCGAATGATCAACTGACAATTAGCATTTCCATTTTTGAACCCATCTTGCGCAAAATAAAACAAAAGCTTGTTTTAGTTTAAAAATTTTCATCTCTGCACGGAAGTACAACGCCCAAAGTGTACCACAATCGCTAACAAACCACCTGTTGACTGGACACCTGCACCAAGTCACGTGACTGTCTAAACCTACCAATCGTCGAGGTCGTCACTTGGATACCTGCTCTTGTTTGTCTCCTCTATAAATTCTAAATGGTTTCAATTTTTATCGCTTGTTTCGTTTATGGGTAATATCTGCTATGGATTAATTTTAAAACACAATCTCTTTAGGAATGTGTGATTCATTGTGAAGATGTTCGGCTTTTTGACGGCACCTTCACCAGCGTGTCTCAAATTAGTTTAAGTGCAAACAGAACTAAAGGTCTTACATTGAGTTGTTTCGGCCTGGCCACAATACACGATCGAGTATTTCCCAACATGGGAAGTCTTAAACTCTTTTTTCTTTCGAAACCCTTGACTTAAAAGGAATGGCCCAGTTTATGAATCTGTATAAAAAATTCAGCTTTAGAATTCGAAATCATATTATTAGAGATAACCCCAGCCATCTCTTAAGTTTATATCTCACGACCTCATCGTAAGAGATCAGTTAGAAAAAAAGATGATAAAAAAATTCTGCATTTTAAAAGATCGAAAGGGATCTGGAGTTTGAAAAAGTTTGGGGCTACTTTGTAACCACCTACTTCCAGTCTGGATTCGAAAACACAGCCCGTCATCTTTGAACATTGAGATAAGCACATTGTGTTCTCTTTTGAGCTAAGAAATTACTTTTGAGGATTGTCTCAACAGAAATGGTAAAACTGAAATTTCGCGAGATCATGAACTCAAATGTATTTGAACGTTATATATATATATATAGGAAGTCTGCAAGTCGATTTTCGCGTGGAACAGTGCTCAATACGTTGAAGCAGAGCAGAATAAATATTATGAGAGGAAAAAAGGACGCAACTACATTTCCCGACAAGCCTGTCTCGTGAATCGCTTCACTCTTCAGGGGTTTAAAGCGATTCACAAAACAGGCTTGTCGGGAAATGTAGTTGCGTCCTTTTTTTTCTTCTCATAATATATATATATATATATATATATATCTCATTAAAAGAGTAATAAGTCTCCAGACATTTAATGTACGCTAAAGAGTTTCAATAATTTAATACCTGTTTACAACTCTTGAGAAATATCGATAAAAACAGAAATAAGACCGCATAAATTAAAAAGAAATAAATTATCAACGACCTACTTCGCATCTACCTCATGGCTTCAAAGAAGCGTGCAATTTAAAAGTAGCAACTAACATATACATCTTGAAGAGCGAAATACGATGTGGAGAATGTTTATTAAAAATGCTACACCGTTATTTTTAAAAAAATTATGTACATTAATACGATGCAAGATTTTAGCGAAATAAAATATCCTTCATTTGACCTTATTTTGTACGCCTAAGTATGCTCTACAACGCTACACACTGACGAGATGTAAAGATGGAACGATAGTTCCGCTACTATGCAAAAAAGAAAACAAACAGCACAAGGTAGCGTTAAGAATTATGTGGGGCGAGGATCCTAAGCAGTAAGGACATGCGTCTCCTTACGACATTTCTCCATGAAGCTACCTACAGAAATTTGTCATTTGAAGAAAAAGTTCCTTCTTTTGATAGTTCTGTCGACAGACGTCTGTGCATGATGGCATGAGCTAAAATCCAATACACCGTAACATGTCGGAACACCGCGAAATTTTAAAAAAAAAAAAGTAAAAAAAAGATTGATAAAGTAGTTTATACATACATTATATATATAAAAAGTCAATTTGTGTGTAGCTCGCGCTCTTCGTGCCTCAAGTCCACCATCGTGGTTTTCGCTAACCAGTAACCCCGTTCCTAACATGGAAAATGGTGGGTTTACGTTCGTGTCGTTTGAAATTGCAATCCGCTGTCTCTAGTGGTAACCGAAAACCAGGGTGACAGACTTAACTCAAAAAGTGCACGGGCTATATACAGATTGAGTTTTACTATTTTTTATCATTTTTTCAAAATTGAAAAAAGTAAACTATTTTTCAAATTTTATGGTTATTTCATCTTTTTGAAATTCCGCGGAGTTCCCGCATGTTCCGGTTTTAGCACATATGGTGCATGGTTTAGGAGCAGTTATCAGCTATTTTTTGGACTACGACAAAAGTGTTAACACAAAAAAATGCCTGTTCTGTGTATATCTGTATATCAGGCTCTATACGCCTTGTTGATGCCTGTGCGAGTTTCCTTTTTCAGTCTCTTTTGGCTGTATTACAATACCCGCTTGACTTCTCCCAATGTTTAAAGCTCTTATCAAAACTATTTGTTTACTGTTATCAGACTAGTAGCTTTCAACAATGACTTGTTCCTTAATAGCTTGTCTCATAGAGACTTAACCGTGTATGATTCGTTTCTTGATGTCTTGCGCCTCTGTCCCTTGGAGACTCCTACCTTCATTCCTTGTCCTTCAACTTCTCCTTTGCTATTAACGCCTTTTCTCCAGACCCTGGCTCTTTCATCATCTTTAGCAGCTGGCCCCCTTTTATGCCTGGATTATCAGTCTAAGTGCTCTTTTTCTATCTTCATAGGAACTGTAGTCACCACTTGGTTTTCAAACACAAATCTCTTGACTCTATGAAACAAAAAGAGAAATATGAACAGAATAGCCAAGTACTGGATCCAAGCCATCTTGATGAGCTGCCAAAATCCTGGACGGTATCTTAAAAATAACGTTAAGGTGAACTCTGTTTGCAATTGAACAACTCCTGATGCGAAAATCTTCAAACACAATTCTAAGAAACAGTTGCAACACATCTCTTAAAACCTTGATAATGGTTGGAAAATATGCGAGGTGTAAATGTATCATTGAATATCATCCCATCCAAGGAAAGGAGATTGAAATACTCTCAGTCAGAGGGGTCTCAATAACTTTTTCCATAAGTGGCTGCCACTGGTGTAATTGGCGGCCATGCCTTAAGGTAAAAATAACCAAGAGAGTCTCTTTGTAGGCTAAACAGATGGTGGTGAGACATCTTGCAGACTTACAGCTCATTGAAACCCCAGTTTGGTTGTATCAAGCAATGAAAACTTAGATGTCAGCTCCAGTGGTGTACATGGGTTAACTTAAGAGCAACACTTTACCTTTTCAACAAAAGCTAGTGGCGGCCCTGAATAATATCCTAGTAGTGATTGCTTGCAGTACATTAGCACAACCTTGATACACTTAAAATTTTTACTAAAAGATACATGATTGTCTCCTCTGGGTAATAAACAGTTCCTTTTATGACAAATGGCTGCCCAGCTGCTCTACCAGTTGTCCACACAGGATGGAATGACACATATTCTGTGGTGACTGACAAAGGATAAAACAGGACTAGAATAAATTTCTCTTTAGCCTCTGTTGGATAATCATAGATATTTTCTCTGCAGATACCACAACAGCACAAGTTAAATTCTTGGTACAAGGATGAAGTAAATTTTCCACCAATTTCATCTCATAACTTACCAAAAAATACAAATTCACTTAAAGTCAACTGGTTTGGTCAAATAATTCAAATATTTCACTGAAAGGAGATCAATAAACTCCACTCAAGGCTTAGTGAGAGATTTTAAGGTCCAGATTTGAGACACTTTGCTCTCACATTGCCTTCATTCCACTAGCGGTGTGAAGAATTGCTTCTAAAAGGTGAGGAAAACCTGATAAGTTTGGGGAGCAGGGTAACCTGGAATTAATCTTTGCAACCTAGTGGTGCTTTTAACTGAAAGTATAATAAGGTCCTGCAACTTTGTGAGTCAGTCTTGTCTGTACTTCAGATATCTGAACCATCAAAAAATATGAATAATACATAGTTTGCATTGATTAATTTTAAAAACAGGACTAATAAGCCTTTCTTTACATGACGCTCTTTTATCAGAGGCTATCAAAACCTCTTACTAGGTAAAGAGCTTATCAATACCTACCATTACGTTGGGTGTATGCAGTAAATATGTCATACAATTTATAAGCATCAACATTAGAACTTGAACCATCAATAACTGGTACCTACAACCAGAAAATTGTTAATAATTGGCTTAAATAACTGTCTACACTTAAAATTGGTTTACTGGCATAAAGAACTCACACCAGATGGTGTCAAAACACAAGAGTCTTTTGTAAATCAGTAAAGCACAGACCAAAGGAGAGCAGATAACAGAGTTTGCAGATAGCTGCTGACCTGCTAAGAGGCTCTGGAGACCCATAGCCACAATGAAAGAAGCAAATTGTGCATACCAGTATATTGCATTACTCTATTCAAGGTTATTCTTTCAGGATTCATTTGTACTCCTTACGTTATATAAGACATGTTGTCCTTTGTAAGGTAAGGGTCCTGACTGCTGAAGAATCAGTTTTCCAACTGTTGAAAACTCTGCACCAGCTAGAGGAGATGAGTGATGGATGTAGGCCATGCTCTCCATCTGAAGTCTGACATATTTCTGAAGAAAAAGAAAGACATCAGGACAGCTGTTGATCATATCAGATCTTCATATTACTTAATTCACTCTTAACACCTGAACATAATATGCATATTCTCCATACTATTAACTTAGTAAACATTTCCAATGGTACCAACAGGGGGAATTTTATTAACAGTCAGGAGCCTCTTTAGTTGGCAACTATTTCCTACATTCTCATTTTCTTAATGTTTGATTCAGGGAATATACTGTAAGGAAAATTTTGATGCTAGTCCAGTCATTCATTAAGGGTTAATTAAGAGAAATGCAAAAGAATCTTATTCAAAACACCACTTGCATACTGACTGGCAAGATTCTTAAATCAAATATCTCCAACATGAAAACACTGTGATTTAACAAGCAAGCCATGAATTTGCCTTTTCTTGAAGCATTCTTAACAATAGTGCCACTCTCTACTCTAACAGGGAAACTCAAAGATTTGCAATGGAGATCACCTGTAATAATCAAGCATCTACATGGAGGAGACATTACAGCACAACTGTTATCCTTGTGCTTAAGATACCAGAATGAAAAGCTTCTGCAATGGGTCGCTTAGACTGCAACACGACTCAAAATGTACAGTGTAACTTACATAAAGTTTGTAATCAAATATCAGCAGCAGTTGTACAGAATGTATTGCCTCAGAGTCTGACAGGGGTATCTCAATATTGAAGTGAAGGCTGTCATACTTTCCATCCAGGTTACCATCTGTTTCCCAAGACTTAATCCAAGAAAAAAAACATATTACTTACAGTGTGAATGATAATTGTGGGAAAATTCGATTCAACTATCTCATAATTACAGTTCTAAATTATCACAGGAAAAAATTTGAAATTAAAGAATATTAGGGTTCGCAGTCACAGTAGAAAACTAATATCTCAGATTCAGTTCTAATCACCTTTATGAGTGGAATTCTAAGCTTTTCCTGCAGAAGATGGTTAAAGTTTTGAAACGTACTGTAGGCCATAAATGAACCTGGGGTATTTCCTTGAAGAACGACAAGCAGTTCGTGTTTAAAACGAACATCGGGTTGCTCTCTGAAAGAACTTTCCTTGAGCCAGAAACCTGCAGTGTTTCACAACGATTCATGAGGTTTACAATTAATTACAAGAAAGTTAAGAGCTTAGAGTAGAACAGTATTGAATAAAAAACGAAAAAATAATCAGAAAATTTGCTTACCGTGCGTGACATAGGCAATAATCAGGGGTGGTATAAAAGTCAAAATTATGACAAAGAATTGGAAAAGAGTCGCTCTGCTACAAATGTGAGTCTTGTATTTTTGTCGTACATTATGCGTATGAACTACGTACATCACCATGTCGAAGAAATATTCCTGCTTAGCGACGAACTTTTATAAACAAAAATTGGCGCTCTCTCACATTTTTCCCTTCGTAGATTGAGCCCGCGAATGTAAAGAGGAGAAATACATTTCTTCAATGGGGTGGACTGATCGAGTTTTTTGCAAAATGTTTCTTTGTTGAAATGGTACAAAAGAAACTAAAATTATTATAGATATGAAATAATAATAATCGAGTACGTTGTATCCATATTCGAAGCATCTTTTCCATTTTGATCTCAAGAACTTCCGTGTTTGAAACAGGTCAAAAAGAATTACCTTACCCCTCCCCTGCTTCTTAAAATTTGCATTATGTATTCGGCCCAGATCCTTAGAATTAAATCTCGTTCAAGATGGCGGACGGCAAAGACATTTTTGTACTGTGTTAGATATTTCGCAGAATTATATACCTCTGCTCTGTTGTTCTATGGCTCATTGGAAGGAAGATGAAATATTTGCAGACAAGCTAGCTCGTTTATGTTGTGATCATTTCAACAAGTTGAACAAGAAGGGAAAACCTCAAATAGATGGCGAGTGGACTTTGTTGGCTGCTATTGTGCTTGTTCAGCAAAGAGGTTAAAACATTTAAACCTATTATTTCTGAAATGAAATAACCATTTGGTGCTAAACTATTTACCTTTATTTAATACCTATGTTTTTCGGATAAGCATGGCTAATGAAATTAAGGGATCAACCCGGAAGGCTTGGAACAAATCTGAAGAGTTTGCCACGCAGATCTACAGGGTCGGAAAATGCTAAGAGTACAACGCATAAATTTCTCCTGCTAAATTCTAGTGGCCTGAGCGAATTTCATTCAGATGCTTAACTTCATTCTCTTGCTCCTATGTTTTTTTTTTTAACAAAAACCCTGTTTGCGAGTGTCGACAGATTCCACTTCGGCACGTTACAAGATTTCAAGGCAAAGGCTTCGCAGACTTTTCTTTCTTATAGTTTACCTCTGGGAATCAGTTCTTTATCCATCGTATGCAGGTTAATTATGATTTATTTCTTAAATTTATTAATGATATGTAGTAGTTCAAATACTATAGATGACGATGACAACTCAACAACAAAATATTCCATGGAGGTGGTTGCAATGGGAACTGGTTCTAAATGCATAGGAAGAAACAGAATGAACAATCAAGGTAAAAATTTGGTACAATTGAAAGAGCCTTATAATTGCTTAAAAAAATTGGAGATGCAGACCATAAATTTAAAGCTGTGAAAGAGTCATCAAATAATTATTCACAGAAATGTTGTGTTTGTAATTGACTATTATGCTATTTATGAGTAATAAAGGACATGTACAAACAAATTTTGACGTAGCTTTTACGTGTGATGATAATGTAACCATTTAAACAATTTTTTAGTACAATGAGTCCAACTTATCTAAAGTTGTAAACCTGGTTCAACTGTGGCTCCAACTCCAGAGCATCTTTTATCAGTCTCTGAAGTACTCTTCTCTACTAGTATACAGTTCTTCTTTTAAAATTACAATGAGCCAAATTTGTTATGCTCAATAACAAAACAGTGATGACTGACTGTCACTTCCCAAATATTCAGTTAAGTTCAGCTTGGTTAACTCTTAATAACTCCCATAAGTGATCAAGACAGAATTTCTCCTTACAATATCAACACAATATCAAGCAGATGAGTGATAAGAATAAAGACAAATATTAATTAGGGGATTATTACCCAATACCAAATTCTCCAAACTAACCTTACAATAACTTTATGACAGTAATTAGGTCTTGAGAATTAAAGGGTTAACTCTTTAACCCTTAGGAGTGACCACTTAATAATTCTTTTTTACAATATTATTACGTTGTCCTGAAGAAAGGTGTCAAGAAGACAATAGAACATCAACTTGGGGAAATTGTTTGATTTTATAACAAATTCTCAGAGCCAAAATTATAAGAAATGTATAACAAACAGTGAAGAGAATTGACATGTGGATCTTAGGTATAAAAGGGTTAACCCTTTGTAAGCTAAAATGTCCATATATAATCAGGCAAACATGTAATGAAAATATTATAATCAAACTTATCAGGTTTAAGTTGTTATCTTGATCTTACTCCAAATTCTCATGACTAATTTACAGGGAAATGTGTAGAAGCTAAAGGGGTGAATTATCAATCATAGATCTTGGTTCAGAGTTTAAGGGTTAATATAGCATGTATCTCTGCAGGAACTATTTTAAATGACAGCCATGCAGAAGTTATTGCCAGGAGAAGTTTTCTCAGGTCTGAATGCTAATGATCCTTTGTTTTAATTTTTTTTAAATTTTTTTTTTCATCTATTTTTGAGTCTTTTTATATATTGGATATTTATTTTAATATATAATTATTGTGAAAACCAATGTTTAGCCTTCAAGGACCATACTTAATATATTGTTAGGTGTGATCAATGTTTTTTTCTCTCAAGGTATCTTTACCGGCAGTTATGGTATGTTTATAAAGAGGAGAAAAGTATATTTGTTTTCCAAGAGGAAAGTTATTTATGCAAGCTTAAAGATGGAGTGTCCTTTCATCTTTTTACTTCCCATACACCTTGTAAGTATTTCATTTTTTGTTACCTGAGTCAAATTACTTTGTACCTAATTGAACTCTTTTTTTATCTGTAATTATTTTTAGATAAGTCTTAAACTGGGCAAAAGATTGTTTATTAACTCTTTTAGAAAATAATTTAAATATGATATGACTGTTAAGTTATATGGTTGAATCAAACTTGAATCAAACCTCAGTGATATTTAAAAGTTACCAACCATAATTCCATTTTTCAGGTGGTGATGCTTCAATCTTTCCAAAAGCAGAAGATGATACTTTGGTAGTTTCAGGATTACAAAGTCAAAGCCTTAAGTCTGGAAAGAGAAAATGTCACTCACCCTCTGAAATTGTCACACCCATGGATTCCTCAAAGAAAATCTGTCTTGAAAAGAAAACAACCAATGATTTAAGCTCTGACATTCTGATTGAAACCTCTATTGTATCATCAACTGTGCAAATCTTTTCTCAAGAAGCTACTGGCATGCATAGTAGTAACCACACAAGTGAAACCTCAGCAGAATTTTCATTGTACCTATCAGACTCACAATCAAAATGTGAAGACCTAAAAAATTTCACCATCAACTGTAAGGAACAAAAAGCAAATGGAACACAAACAGATCCTGTGAGTATAAATAATGATGAGACTGGACATGTGGTGGCCAATGTCAATCAGATACAAAATAATGGTAAACAGTACAAGGATGTGCATAGAACAGGAGCAAAGTGTGTGCCAGGAGGTGAGCAGGATCTTCTTCAACCTGGCATTGGATACCATACTGTGGGTATTTTACGCACTAAACCAGGGCGTGGAGATCCTACATTATCAATGTCATGCAGTGACAAAATAATGAAATGGAATGTTCTTGGTATCCAAGGAGCTCTGCTGTCTTACTTTTTAACAACTCCAGTGTACCTGTCATCCATTGTGGTTGGTATGTGCCCCTATGATGGCACTGCTATGAAGAGAGGAATCTTTGAACGCACTTTATCTGTATCATTGGACTTGTATAGTGAATTTTGTCATCATAAGCCCAAGACCTTTCAAGCAGATGTGCAGTTTGAACACAGCAAATATAAAGTCATGGAACAAAGTCAGAGTAAAGTATCTTCATCCTCAACAGGTAAAAAAAGATGAAAACTTAATTTCTCTCACTACATTTCAAGTATTTCAAGTATCGGTAAATTTTTTTCTGCAAAGCCAAGTAGAAAAGCTGCCTTATTTGAAGAGATTTGACTTCTTTCTCGTGTTTCTTAGGGCGGTTTTTCACCACTTCTTTTCCCTCTTCCTTTGTGCACATGGAGAATTAGAGATAGCTTGTGAGGAGGCCTTCACTTTGAAAATTGAGGCACACCGAGGTCTATGTAGAAGCTAATGACAAATTGTACCACTTGGTAACTTAGTATTATCAACTAAGAAACTTATCCCCTTTATCAACTGGTACCTCTAACTTAATGTGTACAATGTTTCCAGCTGTGTCAGTTACATGCAAGATAGCAAATGAGGATTTGTAGAGTCTTGTCTGTTACATGCTGTATTTCCACTGCTGCTGCTGTTACCAGTCTTTTGCAAGGAGCTAATATAAAAGCATGTTTCCTGATTTTCCCTGATTTTCTTCCTCTGACAGTTTCTTTTTTTTTCAAATTTATTACTATTAGCTATTATTTGGATTAAAGATCCCTTCTACCATGAAATTTCTGTTAATGGACTTCGACAGGGCGTTACTAAAAAGAACCTCTCATCACCAAAAGCAAGGTAAAAAATGACCAGAAAAACTAAGATTTCTGTACAATTTTTCCATGTTGTCAAGATCATTTAGTTTTGTTCATTTCATTTCATTTTCTTCATTTCAAAGGTATTTAAGAAAAATCCACGCTTTTTTTATTAGAACCTGCATTTGTAAAGCAAGTCTGTTTGAGACATTCAAAGCTCTGGTTGGTAGCATTCCTGTCTGGAAGCTTCCGTCCTCATTAAGGTTAGTCCAACTAGTGGTACATGGTACACTCCTAAAACTGATTACAGAGCTTTTATGTATGTAATGGTAACTGCATTAGCAGTATTAAAGCCAAGGAAGTCCTTAATTCATAAATATGGTAATTTAAAGTATGGAATGTTTATTTTTTTTTTTTAATTTGGTTGGCAAAACTGGCACAAGAATTCTGGTGTTGAATAAGGATCTGGGAAGCAACTCATAGTGACAAGAGGAAACACTCGAGGAAGTATCATGACTCAGAAATGGGATTACTCTCTGGCTGGATGGGCCTCTAAGTTCATGCCTTAAGTTTAACCCTGCAACTTCTATGAGTGACCAAGACAAATTTCTCTCAACTATTAAATACAAAATCATGCAAACTAGTGATGGGATTATAGAATATATTAATTAGAGGATCATAGCTAATACAATACAAAATTCTCAGAACTAACATCATAAGAATTTAATAATAGAAATAGGGGGAATTACTAATGAGATCTTGGAAGTGAAATGGTCAACCTGTCACCAATTTCTATCATCTTGATCTTAAAAGAAATATGAACAAAGTGTGCAGTACACTGTTTAACTAATAAAATGAAAAATTTATTTACCACAAGTTACATCAAAATTATCTGACTTTATTTTCAGGCAAAAGAAAATAACAAGCTACCACAATGCAAAGAGACAAGCTTCAATATATAATGCTGTCAGGGAAAAATTCCTCATTGCATTTCCAACTTGGTGCCTGAAGCCTGACAACCTATCAAATTTCACTGGATCAGAATGAAAAAATAAAGAACTTTCGTGGTTCTTAGCCATGCTAGCTGCAACTTGTAGGAGATATGGATTATTTGTGGTCATTACTCAAAATTTGTATAGTCATTTAGCCGATTGGCCACTGTCACTAGTGTCAAGAGAATGAATCAGTTTTATTCTGTTAATAGTTGCACAGTAATCAAAATAACACGAATATTAAGAAGCTGGAGTACACATAAGAAATTTAAGCAAACCCGAAGACAGCATTCTATTCAACCTCATAAACAAATTCAGCCAAGGATACTGGATTTCATATTTCTGTTTTTCTCTGGCTGAAGATTGAGTGGTAGTATACATTGTGCATATACCTGTATTTACAAAATCGCAGTTTTGTTGTTATGCTAATTTACAATCCATACTTTTTATCACAGCTCCAATGTACCTGATTGATCCTACAATAAAACACTGAAATCTACACAAAGATGCCAGGTCAATCTTTTCTTAAAGTAACATCTAGTTCAGCATGTTTAATCTCCTTTAGAACACAATATATTTTGCCAGACTATTAACCCTAATAAAACCCAAAACCAATCTGTAAGGTACATTGACAATCCAAGAGTTTATATTGAGTTCAATCCAGAGATTTCAACTGAAGCATTTACATTCCAAAAGTGTTTTCCCCACTATAGGCAATGTACAGGAAGCCATCTTCATCTTTGTGTTCTTCGTAGATAGAACCCATGGTTGAACTATAAGGGAAAAGTACAAACAGTGAGTATGCATTGTTGGGTGAATAACTATGGAACAAGGTCAGTTACAACACACAACCAAAGCACTTGCTTCCCCACTTTTCTTATCAAATACTCTGAAAAGTGTCTGTTAACTTAAAAAAATTTTATGCACTTGTACTTTTGTTTTGGCTGGTTTTTTGGTCTATTTTGTTGACTTAAATTTCACCAGTGGGCAGTTTCAATTGCTAAAAATCTGTATGATGCATTCATGGTGACTTTGAACCTCTCAAATTGTTAAACAAAAAAACTACAGCTGAGTTCTTAGAAAAAGAAAGATGGTTCTGAAAATCATGCAATACCACTGCTAAATGTTGTGAACTACAGGGTAACAATAAGATACTGAAAAAGAGTGATATGGAAGGGAAAGCAGAATCTCAAAACAGAAATACAGAAACCTCCTGGATAAGTTAACTGGATGGTGTTGTTACATGAGGTAAGTCACACGGCAACTTTTAAGTTCACATGAGACTCAGGCAAACTGGATGTAGAATTGATCAACAGACTGTAATTTGACCTTTGTTTCTATGTTAAATTATTCTTCTGGAAAAGTATATGTTCTTTATTGAAAAAGAAAAAAAAAGAAAGAAAAAAAAAAGGAAAATCTCTATGTACACGCGAAAACACAAATGCACAAGGTAGGAGCATACCATATTATCAAAGACCCATCCGCACTGTCAGTATAAACAAGGTAGCACATTTTGGTGAATTATATATTCTGCCACCAGCAAATGTAAATTACGACTTAAACAGCTTTCTTTCTTCTTGGTATTATTCGGACAAGCCTAAATTACCAGGAGCTGTAAGAAATATCTATTCCCCGACAAAACCTCCGCTCTTGGTTATGTACCTCTGTTGACTTGCAATTAAAATTGCGAAATTCTTTGGAATAAGGAACGAGCTCCTCTTTTCGCACAAAAACCAAAGGGATCCGTGGGGAAAATAAACAAAGCACATACAAGCCTTTCCAAAAGACAGCTGTGAAACGAGGAAAAGCGTCGATGGAGACTAAGATACGGGTTAGCGATGAAAGAGTTTGGAATCTGAGAGCGGCCATTACAAGTAAAAGCGCCGCAACTGCAAAGACGTCTGAATTTCTCTTTCTGGAACACTTTCGAATCTCCTCTATTAAGACCGAACTATTTAAGAACTAAATCTCCGTTTTAGTTTGGTAGACGAAAAAAGAATACGATGTTGCTTAAAAGACAAACTCACTCGAAACCAGAGTTCTTCTTTGGAAGGCAGATTTAACGATGTAAACAAAACGGTCGCAAAAAATAACTACGTTGAGGAAAAAGACGGTGATTTTGCTTCGCTAAATCTGCTCTGTAACTAATGTGATACAAACTTACAACGAGACATTCGTTTTAAAAGCTTGCTAACATATTTGCAACAAACCTTGTCTGTGGAAGAACTTTGTTGACAAAAAGAAACATCGCCTTTTCTGGAGGAAGCTGAATTCTCTTCCGGATGATGTACATGAACTGCGCCACTGAAAGGAAACACAATTATATAGCTCACAAATTTTTTGTCACATAAGAACAATATATGATAATACACAGTAAAATAGGCAAAAATTTAAACACTTTAATGGTTATCAACGAGACACAACAAACAAAATCCTCGAGCTGAAACAAAGGACGAAACTACGTCGAGTTTAGCCCATTCAGTTTACAGTATTTCCCGTTTAATGGCAAGCTTACCTGTCAGATCCGAAGGAACAAGAAATTTCCTTTTATCGATATCTTGAATGCTGGTTTTAGGTGCTTTCTCAACAACGACCTAGAACAATAATAATAGTAAATCAATCTTGCTTGATACTACCAAAAATAACGTTTGGACACGAGCACTCACGGGAATTCGGTCAGGATACTTCGCCCTTATCTTTGCAGATTCGTGGCATCTTGACTCTACAATAACAGAGAAACAGCGGTGAGAATATTGTCAAAGCGATAAATTAAGGTGTACGACTTAACCTACCTAAGGAATGTTCCTCTTTAAAACTCCACTTCATTGTCAATGGCAAAGTAGCCTAGAATAAATGCTCTTCTGATGGAAGCAATTCTTCCCAAATATCGATTTATGCTGCGTAAGTTCTCAGAATGTTTGAACACGTGACTTTTTGTTATTTTCTTATGTGACGTCATTAAACTACGTAATATTCCATATTTGGCGCGATTTAAGGTCAGCGGTAATTTTCTTGACTTTCTAAAAATAGCTTTAATAAACCTTACAGCTTTGCGAAAGGTCGATCAAATTCATTTTATAAAGGTTGAAAATAGCCAATTTTTATTGATGTCTTGGCAACAGATCAATCAGTGTAGCAGTCATTTGGTTTCCAAGAGAATGTGAGATTTTTTCTGCCTTTTGTTAAGATGATGTAAGGCAACATTATCATCGATAAGGGAAAAACCCACGGCGTTGGCGGATTTATTTTTGCAAACGTCTGCTTTTATTACATTTTCAATTATCATTTCTTTGATTGACGTTAAGTTAATTTATATATAATTAGATAAGATCTGCCTGTAGATGAGGGGGAATCCTTGCTGACCTCACTGTTTACACTATTCTTCATTACTGATACATGTTTCCAAAGAAAAGAAGTCGATATAAGGGAGAAACTATTTCCAAAATTGAAAGAACGTTTCACCATTTTGGGGAAATCTTGAACTTGTTGGGAGTAAAACTTACTGAAATATTCCGGCGCCATTGCAAACGGCCAACTTTCAGAGTGAAACTGACACAAGACGTTCTTTTTAAAATTTCTTACTTTTAACAATGTGTATCTTAAAAAATTTTAGAGAAGGTAAATATCTCCTAAATCTCGAGTTCCAAAATTTTTGTTTCTTGACAGGAAAATGAAGAGCTCGTGCATGCAAATGAGCAAAAAAATTTAACAAAGATTCCCGACTTTGCTCAGAAGGAAACTATCAACAGGCCAACCAAGATTAATAGGGTTTCAGTCACGGCCTTTCCTCAGTATCTTTCTCTGCCCTCCCTGCATGAATGATTCAATCCACGACTGTGGCAGGATAAGCCCTTGAAAGCACGTTACGGCCGTTCCACATTCCATTTCTTTACTATGCCCGCAAGAATGATTCAGTCCATGATTGTGGTAGAATGGGCCAACGAAAGTATCCAAGCAAATAGTTTGCCTTCAAATGATAGACTCAGTCGAGTATTTCGCTCTCTCTTAACCCTTTAACTCCCAAGATCTGATTGTCAATTCTCCCCTCTAGCTGCTACACATTTCGAAGATAAATTTGTCTGATAGACATTTGACCAGCGAATTCAATGAGCACCGGTAGCTGAAGTTGGCAATGCGCAGGCGCTGTTGTAACTTCGGTCGATTAGATGAGGTGTCTTATTCTCTCAGACGAGTTTATCTTCTTTCCAGCCGAGTTCAACTACATAGGAAAAATTTTCAATAATACTTTAGCTTTAATGCAGTTTATTGAAAGGCTCTCGAGTTATCGATCTACCACTGTCTAGGAAGTGTCATGGTGATGTGTCATTTTATGTTGTCCCACAGCCTTTCAATGTCTACCTCACATTATATATTCGGAGACACAATTTAATGGTTAGCTTTGCGCAGTGGCATTACTGTAGCCAGTGAGGTTTATCCGAGGCGCGGTTATTGCTGATTGAAAACTTTTCCCAATACCCCGCAAGACGGCTTGAAATACAGCCGGCTTTGCAATTTTTGACGGTCCATACGTGGACCTTACAATTAAACTAAGAACAAACAAGCTCTCAAGCCTCGTTCAAGTAACGTCTAACCAACGTCAGTTAAACGTTTGACCTGTGAAACCTGGGGCATAGTCGAGTCCGTAGCTAGCTCAACTGCGGTCTCTCTGAGCTTCATGTAATACGTTTCAACAACATGGCGGAAGAAGACGAGGATTCATCGTTAGAACGCGTTCTTCAAAGGCACAGAAAGGAAGCGAAAGATCTTCAGGGTATAAGATCGTCTTCCTTTTTTAATACTATTTTCTGACATGTTATGAATCTTTAAGGGAACTCAGATTTTTTTACTATTTCCCACGCTTATGACAATCGGTTCAGGCGGACTTTTGCTCTCATATTTGTGGAATGTTACGACCCATCAGATCATAGGTAACTGTGCATTGTGAGGCTATCCTTATCTCATATCTGTTGAATGAGGCTGAAAGAACATTCGATCTGTATTACTCCACCGAAGATAACTTAAAATAATGTAAGATGTTTCATTGAATTATTTGTTGTACTTGTTTGTTTGTTTGTTTTTTCAGCCAAAATCCAGGCGTTGAAACACTCTGTTCCAAAAGGTGACAAAAAGAAGAAAAAAGAGATGGCTCTTGAGATTGCAAAGCTGGAGGAAGATTTATCCGTGAGACATAAGAATGAGCTGGACTCACTGCAGAGTGACTCAAGTGTTAGTTCTTGCAAATAAGTATTTTTAAAACATATTCCTAAATCATTGTGTCACTGCCCTTCCTTGCAACGCCTTGTTTTTTACTTAAAAAATATTTTTCATGAATGTTTGGACCTAATAATATTAGATGGAACATTCTTCCTACATCCAGTTTTGTGAAGCAAATCAGTATTTAAGATAAGACTCTCCTAATGATTCAATAACCCAACTCTCTTAAGTTGTTCCAGAGTCTCCAAGATGCAGCACAAATTTTCTGTTCACCAATACAAAGGGGAAGGGGGGGGAGGGGAAGGTTATCCTGATTCCATTTCATGCACAAATTTTTTAAAAAGTCATGTGTCAGGTATACTTTATACAGCATTTCATGCATCACAAACCTGTAAGGGAAAACTTCAAGTCTCTCCTTGTGTGTGTGGTTTCAGGGAAATCTTGAGGTTTTCACAAAATGAAAGAAATTTTATGGGTCATGTATATTTCAGGAGGCAAATCACTCCTTGTGCTGGTTCACACATTCACAGATCTTGTTTGAGTTTCAGTTGGATTCACTTGTCAAATATTCATTTTTACCTTAATCTCATGCCACATATAAACCCTTTGCCAACCTTGACACACTTTGCAAAATCTTCTTTTCAGAATGGTCTTGTTTGTAAGAATTTGTTGTCTCTTTAGACTACATAGGTCCATTTTGCAAATCTCTGTTTTTGGTAAGGTAGAACAAGAAAGAAGAAAATTTACAAACTTGTGGGTTCAGAGGTTTTTAGATGAACTATTCATTTATAATGGTTGAAGTATGCTTTTTGGCTGGTTATATTTTATTTATCTATTTTGTAGAAAGAGAATCATAAGGAACTAGATGTCACAAAGGAGATGGAATCCATTTCGATAACCTCGGGTGAAGGGGAAACACACTCTCGAGTTTCAAAAGCACAAAAAAGACGGGTAAAAATGTACTATTTTATTATTAATGTTAACCCTTTAACTCCCAAGGTCTGATTGTCAATTCTCCCCTTTAGCTGCTACACATTTCATTGTAAATTAGTTTCAAGAACTTGGTGCTAGATCAAGATAGCACCTTCTATGTGATAAGATTGAATATTCTCATTACCTGTTTGATGAATAATATGTATGTTATAGGGAGATGTTTCATGTTAATCACTTCTGGGAGTTAAAGGGTTAACTAACAGCTGAACATTCTAGTTCCTGTAAGAGAATTACTTATGTAAGTTTTCACATAGGGGAGACTGGCAAAATATGTTATACTGCTAATTTTTTCTGTGCAATCCATATATTTGCATGACCATAATTGATACTGCTCATCAATGTTTTCATTATTATTAGGACAAAAAAGCTGCTAAAGATAAGGAAAGAGAACAAAGAATTGCTGAAGCTGAATTGGAAAATGTGCATAGTGCACGTAATGTGGAAGCTGAGAAACTAAAAGAAATCTTGGCAACCAGAGGATTGTCCATAAAAGAGGTATATTTTATTAGGAAGGTGCCACCAATCATGTCTCTTGCTAGGGTCATTGTTATACAAGGTTTGGTTAATTGCCCAAAAATAGTTAATTTAAATGCTGGAGAACAGATTGACAAATTCAGGAAGAATGTATCCATGAAAAATGGCCACATGTATGGTTGATAGTGTGACTAATCACCTATGCATATCAGCAACCTTTCAAGTCAGGCTGTTTGGTGTAGAGAGAATGACCACAATAAATGTGTTTTAGGTGGGCAGAGTAACCCCTTGTGGTGATTAGCTGAAGTACTAAAGGTCACAGTACAATGATATGCAAACCTCTCATGAAGTACACTGTATGTGATACTGCTGTCAGAAGTTTGACTTTGTCCACTAACTTGCTTGATTTGCTTTGTTTTCAGATCACTCCTGATGGACACTGGTATGCAATACTTTATTGTAAGCTCCTAATTAGCCAAAAGAAGATGAAAAAGGATTTTGTGAATATCGTGTAGTGTAGATGATATCGATATATTATCTGTTTTTTAACAACTGCATTGCTAAATGGAGGTTGGGTGCCTGAAACATCCAGGAGCTTCCAATATAGGTAGCCAGCTCCTAGATGGAGACTTCTCCCATGGCTGGTAAATCCTGGCAACCCAGCCATGAGCCCCCACACAGGAAAGGGAAACAGGCACCCATCACACTGAAGAAACAGTGGAAAGAGGGAGGGAATGGGTGGGGAAAACTGCCTCGGTGAGGAACTGCCACTCCTCACAACGCTGCAAGCACACACTCAAAGTACACACAAGAATGCCTGAAACAAAGAGCATATGGAATTCTGATGTATGCGCATATGCAATAAACTGCTGACTACAGAGAACATTGATGCTCTTTGTTGTTAAATCTGCTAAATTACATTTAACAGCATGCAGAAATTTAACCTTGAATTCTTCATCATCAGCTTGTACAATGCTATTGCTGATCAGCTGTCTAGGAGAAATCAACAGGTATGTAGAAGAATTCCCCAGAGAGTCTAAAATGTTAAATGAAATTTAGTGTTCTTTTCTAACTTGTGCCTTTTTTGTCAACATTGTGAAATAAATGCTTATGAAATGTGTGTTGCTTTTGAAAACATCCACACCTCTCCTGTGGGGAATAAAGGAATGTTATTTTTATGCCTGGTAACCAGCATCCTTAACACATTCTTGACATTCCCTCACAGTTAAATTCTGATTTTATTCTTTCCCGTTTACACATCGACTTTTGAAACAAGCTAATCATCTCTAAATTTCCAAAGGACTTGTCTTAGAAGTTTAATTTTATTCCTGGAATCACAAAGTTATGAACTCCTAATGGTGATCTAAAGTACATGAATCATCCTGACGAGTGTAATATAGGTCGGAAGGCTGGTAACTTAAATTTCTTGAGAAAACTTTCTTATAATGGTAGAACAGCAAATTCTTAGGACCGGCCATGAAGGAACCGCCAGTAACAATTACAGGTCGGGAAAATTGGCTTTCAGAAGAAACGCAACGGAAGTGATAATAAATAAATACAATATAATAGGTTACCGCAGTGCGAATTTTACGTTATTGCCAATTATTATCAATATACGCGGCCAAATAGAAAATCGGCCTCTTCAAAACACACGCTCAGCGGGCCGCAAAAGACTGACAGCGGGCTGCTAATGCATTATCAGCCCTACAGCTGATTGGTTCTTGCTTCATCATCCGATGGATTTTAACCAATTAGAGTAAGCCTAGTGTTGACGCGGGAAAACCATTCATTTGCGAAACTCCGGTTTTGAACTGCAGTTTTTTCAGTCGTCGAATAGTCTTCGAGCGAAAACTGAAGTAATAGAAGAAATTAGCAGTCAAAACTCAGATTTGGGGCTAGAAGATTTGGACAAATTAGAAGCAAAAGGTCAGGCGGATCAAAAAATTCGAGAAATGGTGCGACAAACGAAAGCTGAAAGTTGACTTCAATTGTGTAACACCGGTTGAGCTAAATGAATTACTGCGGAAATTCTACGCTGAAGTTAAATCGGAAAAAGGCCAACCGCTAACACCAAGTACTCTAACTGGTATTATTAAAACTCGCATTCTTGATATCATTTGGCCTTGTTTATTGATAATAATGATAATGACATGACTTTTTTCGGGAATATTGTTTATTTGCGCCCTTGTACTGTCATTTGCGGCCCGAGCGCGAAGCGCTCGGGCCGCAAATGACAGTACAAGGGCGCAAATAAACAATATTCCCGAAAAAAGTCATGTTATTCCCTTATTGATGGTCAATCATTTTTGTGTTTTAGACTGGTATGCAAACATTACGAAAACTTGCAGCAGATTATATGTTGAGCAATCAAGATGATTTTTTGCCATTTTTGACCGATGCGAAAACTGGGAAGCTGTACACACCAGGTAAAAATTGTAACGTTTTCGCTTTACTTGCTGGATGAATAGGGACAAGTTTTTGCTACGATTTTGGACGATATTAGATCCCAATGTTGTAAATGTTTCTATCTAATTCTTATGAAGCGCATTTATCAAAGAGCACAGCTGAAGAGGGCGAAGCCTTTTATGTGAGATGAAGAAACGCTACCTCCGGCTCAGTAAAGGGATGAACTTCTAGGTGATCTGAAAGCTAAACTAGACGGCTTCAGGCAGGTCTAGAACAGAGCAACTACCCGAGAAGAAAAAGGCAATTAAAGCACGGTGCCTTGGGTTGAGAGCCTGTTTCTCGCCGTAAATGTCCGCGTGTCCAAGTTCGATTCAGGCTGCTGTACCCAGTTAAGCTTGAAGTCAGTAGAGCAGACTAGGATCCTGTAGTTAAAGCTGAAGAAATGCTATCGAGACCTAGCTGGTTTCCAACTATTTGGAGAGAGAGAGAGTAGTTAGCTCAACGGTGATTTTTTTTATTTATTCTGTATTTGCAGATCAATTCGTTCAGTATTGCGAAGAAATCGCTGCGACTGCTTCATGGGGAGGACACCTTGAGGTAAATTCTTTGTTTCGCATTTACATTACTCAGATTTATTGTCTAACCTCAGTGAGATGCGTGGTGTTTTCTTTTTCGTTTTTGTTGTTGTTTTTTTCGAAGTTATTTTTATGTGACTTTTGGTTCGGGGTGAAAGCTTTTTTAACCCCCGTATGAGGGCGAAAGAGGAAGGAGAAAATGAAAGAGAAGCTAAGAATAAGGTTCTTCGAAGACTCGAGTGTCCATCGACAGTCATCTGAAGAGTCATGGCTTATAAAGTCAATGACGAAAGGGATTTTTTTAGGTTTTTACAGTTTCATTCGCCGTGGTCGTTTAACTAAACTTACAATATACATTTTATTTGAATTTAATTGTAGAGAATTCGAGGAAAAATAGAACACTGAAGTTACTGCAGAAATCACAACATAATGTAATGTTTTGGACTGCAGTGCACTATTTGTTTTGATTTGTCAAGTATTATCGGACGTGGTTCGAGTTATCGCAGTGAAAAATAAACAGTATAGAGAATGACATGAGAGGAAACGAAAATTGCTTCGAGTCAGCGGAAGGTTCGGGTTATCGAGGGTTGAGTTACCGAGGGTAAATTGCAGCATATATTTGGCGGAAATCCAGGGGAAATCGAATTTGGTTTGAGTTAGCGCGGGTTCGAGTTAGCGCGGGTTCGAGTTAGCGAGGGTTCGAGTTAGCGAGGGTTCGAGTTAGCGAGGGTTCGAGTTAGCGAGGTTTCGAGTTATTGAGATTCTACTCTTCTGTTAAAGGGCGGCATTGAAAAACAATGATCGTCACATCAGAAGTTTTTATTTTCAGTGCTGCCCTTTTACAGTCCTTTTATAAGTCCAGACCAACCTGAGAGTCGTATTTTGTCTCCAACGGCTTTCACGATTACGGTGCGCCTCCGCCAAAACGAACATAGCATCTATTTTATTATATTTGTTCTAATTTATTACGGGGCAAAAAATGGACAATTTGAAATGTCCCGTTGGTTTCGATACTTATGAGGTTTCACAGGAGCCTGGGTTCTTTTCGTGTCATATACGTCGTCCCCGTGTTTTTATTGTCCCCTGCCGTATTCTGACATTTTAACACAATTGTCTTCCCAACAGATCCAGGCTTTGTCTCAAGCTCTAAAGCTTCCTATAGAAGTTTATCAAGCTAACGCCCCAGTTCTAAGAATAGGAGAGGACTATGATGACCGGCCATTATTGTTATCGTAAGTGGAAGAAATACCAACGAAAAAAGCGCACCAGAGATGCGCGAGGGAAAGGGCCTCGTTACGGGATGGAATGAGAAAGGTTATCCTTTCCATAATCAGATCCCTCGTCTTAATGCTAGTCTATCGCAACCCCGCGGCCGTGGTTTCAAAAGTCAGGACGACCAAGGACAAGTTAGCAGTCTCTGAATCGATCTCTTGTTTAACCCTCTACACCTTAACATCAGTATGCACATTCTCCTTTCTGTTCCCTATACATTTTCTGGGTGCTGGCAAAGAGAATTTGTTTAACAATCAAAAGCTTCTTTAGTTGGTGATCAGTTTCTTTATTCTCATGACCTTAATGTGTGATTAAGAGGTGATATTGTAAGGAGAATTTATATGCTTGTCATTCTTTCGGGTGGAAGGGTTAAGGGAATGGAAACAAAATAGACCTTGGGAGTGTGTCTCAATAGAATTAACCGTTGGCGTAAGATGGCCAAAAATTAGCCATCAGGCGTAAAAATTTGACAAATTTTACCCGTTAGTCGCAAGAAAAGTTAACCGTGAATACAATGTATGGTGACAACAATAGAAAGATGGTAAACGTTAGCAGGAGCCCAGTGATGGGTTCCCGGCTGCCGTTAGCCGAAAATTGGCCAAAGTTTTAGCCATTCGCCGTAAAAGTTAACATCCCCTTAAGACCCTCTAGGGAGGGGGTTGGAAGTCGGCCCCAGGATTCGTAGATCACGAGTCTAGCGTGCTAGCATCAGTAAATTCTGCCTTTCGTTAGTTGCGTTACAGCTTCTTTATAGATTTAATTGTTGTTGGTGTTCATTCATAATTCTTGTCTCGATTTGCTTGTTGTTTTCTAGATATCATCACCATGAATACGGTCTGGGAGAGCATTACAACTCAGTCATTCCCACAGAAGAATGTTTTGACAGCTAGCACTTAGAGTAATGATTCATTGAACGCGAAACTGAAAACGATTTATTACAATCAAAAGACTATCAATGTGTACCAGAACACCCATAGTGGTCATTTAAATAAAAGATTAGACGTCGTGACATTTGTTTGTCGAATATGCCTTCCGGTAACCGAGAGCCATCCCGTCACCTAAACTTATTTGACCAGTTGAATCGAGTGGATAAGCTTTAGTTAACGACAGCACCTTTAATTAAAGGTGAGTATTTGACAAAGTTTACCTGCTTCTTTTCCACGTTGATGAAGCTTTCATCTGATCGGATCAATGATTAAAGAGTCTTGTGGAAGCGAAAGAGAGTTATCAGATCTTGTAGGGGGGCTTAACTGTAATGTGGAATAAAATCAACTTGGAACCACTGCCTTCTTCAAATTTCCTCTTTATTGACATTATAGTTTGATTTTAGTAATTTCGTGAAAAATTAGATAAAGCTTCAAGATTGGCAAACGGACTGGCTCCAATTTATAGGTCACTTTAAAGGTCTGAACAAAATGAGGCCAAGAGCAAAACTTAAACATTATGAAAATTAGTTCATCTACATGGGAATAAAAATTAATTTCATATCAAAGGTCACTCTTATCCTCATTTCCATAGAGGAACTTCAAGTATCTTTTGATATACTTTCGACTTCATATTGGAAACAACAATAACAACACTGATCAGCCTTAACGAGAATTTGACGTGCAAAAACAAAATTTAGAGAATTCCTAGCTGTTTGCTGATGTAGCACACTACAAAAAGTTAAAATGATTATCCTTCAACTCTGTCCCCGTAGGAGAGAGCTTTGGAGTTCATCAGAGGCTGTTTGATTTCAATCTACTCTTTTGATCGCCATACATTCGTGTTGTCTAAAAATTGTAATTGGAAGTGTCCATTACATGGATTTCTTTTTTGATATAAAACTGTTTATGCTCTGGCATGGGAAAAAAGTTTTAATATCAATTTTTCTCGTTTTCTCCGGGATTGGCTCCTGGTTTATCCTGATCGGCCGTTCCGCTCTCATCTGGTTTCATAGCTGGGAAAAATAGTACCTCCTACAACAAACAGAACAACAGTGCAATTAAAATAAACACGTTACTTTAACTGATGTTGCTCATTCTGTAGTATAGCAGGTTTGAAAGATGCTAAAAAAAAGTTAAAATAATAAAAAATAATGATAATAAAAAGAAAATATGTAGCCAGTGTTTCAAGGAGAGGCAAGAATTCTCAATCGAGGTGCGCCAAGCAGGGGAGTAGGGGCCCCAACAGCATTTGTTTATGGAGGGGAGGGCCCCAAGAGCATGTTTTTGGGGAAAGGAGCATCCCAAGGGCAATTTTTTTTTTTATGGGAGGGGGAGAGTCTCGAAAAGCATTTTTGCGAAATTAAAGAAAACTTTGAGCTGTTTTCCTACGGTTTTCAATTTTTTACTGGGCTGGGAAGGAGGGTAACGTGCACTCTTAGACTCTGCCCCCCCCCCCCCCCCCCCCCCCCCCCCGACCTTGTTTAAAGAGCTGTATAGGTCTCTTTACTTTTAGTTCCAGAGTGAGATGACACCAGAAGTAGGGTATCAAAATTAAAGATGGAAAAAGAAAAGGCAAAATAAACAAAATAAAACAAACCTTGATGTTATTTGAATCCGTAAGGAACATTGTGAGTCTGTCTATTCCCATACCCCAACCAGCTGTGGGTGGCAGGCCATACTCAAGAGCTGTGCAAAAGTTTTCATCCACGAACATTGCCTCATCATCACCAGCGTCTTTATCCTACAGGAACAAAATTAATTTAAGCAACTAAGGTGGACACAACTCAGCTAGACTTTCTAAAAGTGTTGTATAGTGAAAGGATCAATATTAAGTCCAATCAAATTCCCAACAGCATTTTTTCTCAGGAAAGTGTAATATTCTCACTTTTTCCTTTCTTTAAGCCTAGTAAAATGTGCTGACAGGCCAGCACAACTCCTGTCAGACATTAAGTGTAATATGAACAATTTTCCCCCAGTTGCCCATATGTAAACAAAAAAAAAAAGAGGCATGCTGATGAGGATCCTTAAAGGTAGTTTTTTAAAATGTACAGAGAAATCATCGGCTCCTTGTGTTATTTTCTTGTATTTGGAAAGAAGTTGTGATTACTTTATTTGACGACCCAGTTTTTAAAATGTCACCATTAAAGATGCCCATCTTCTGCACTTGTGTGTTGAGTTCACCTCCCAACTAGAAGATAAGTCTCAGACATTCAAGGCACAATGGGAAAATTTCCTATATGTCTCCAAGGCATGAAACAGTTTATGTCCATTACAAAGAACATGCTGTGATGAACTTGGAAATTACTTTGACCTCACATGATTTAGTTGACAATCATTGCCATTAGGCTATGATACATGCCCAAGTAAGGTTGGAGTTATACATAATTACACAATCAAAAAATATAACAATGGTAAAATAGTTTGAAAAAATAGTGATTTGACTTTCTCAACCTTCCCTAGATAGAGCAATTTTCAATCGAGTGTTGGAAGTCAATACACGATTCCTTTGGTTTTGCTTACTTCGCTCTGTGATTGATCCAGGCAGTGTGGTTGGTTTTACTTCCAGTTCTCATTGGCTCTTAACCCCTTAACTTCCAAGATCTCATTAGTAATTCTCCTTACTGTCTCCCATAAAGTTCTTGTGATGTTAGTTTGGAGAATTTGGTGTTAGATCAACTTGTGGTCCCCTAATTGATATTTCTCTTTATTCTCATCACTTGTCTGCTCAAAATTGTATGGATAATGTAGGGAGAAATTCTGTCTTGGTCACTCAAGGGAGTTAAAGGGTTAAAGGTATATTCCTTTCTTTTGATTGGCCATTGTGATTACTTTGGTTTAGGTTTTACAACACTCCATCAGAAGCACTCTGCTGAAGAAAAAGAATTTCTGTTTACCTTGGCTTGAAGCTGAAACATCTCCCTCTGTACAACAGGATCATTCAATTCTGTGTACGCATTGCACACCTCTTTACGGCAAACAAAGAGCTCAAATCTCTCAGAAAGGCCAGGGACAGATCTATGCCTGACCAGAAAACAAGGAAATAATAAAATTATTAAAAATTTGATACGTTGCTGGACAGGAGGGGAGAAGAAAAGCTTTGAGGTTGGGTCACCAATAATGCGTCCTGTTTAGTAATGTTTTTAGTTTTCTTCTAGTTGTAAAAATATGTTCCCATGAGCACCCAAGCCATCACTTACTCAGTGCTTTCAGGTGGCAGCAAATGAATGCAACAAGGATGATCCTATCACCTCACGTGAAATAGTCTGCAGTAACTGAACTACAGCAAACGTGCCTGGTGAGGTTTAAGAGAGGTCTTACACACAAGCCAAGTGGCCCAAACCCACCGACACTACCCTGGTTCTCAAGACATCATGCAACTAGGAGAGGACAGTCTATTGATCTACTCACTGAGTGTTTATAGAAATCCAAATATCAAAATTGTTCTGATTTATGCATGTTACTTACCACTTTGAAAGTGGGCTCATTATTTGAGGATGATCAATGATGAAAGTTGGATTGACACAGGTCTCTTCCAGAAATTCACCAACAAGCTGTCAAATGAAAAAAGGAAGTAAGTCATTTGTAATGGTTCTAAGGCTGCAGAGTTCCAATATCTTTCAGCATCCTTATCCAACAACAAGCTAATTGTCTGAATATTGATTTGTTGCACTGTGCTAAGCTCTTTAGGACCAATAAAACATCTTGTAAAAAACGCTTGTCACAAGAGTCCTTAGTTTCTCACAAGTGCATGACTGAATGTTTTGTCTCCAAGGCATGAAACAGCTTAATTCCATCATAACGGAAGAGCTGTGATGAACTTGGAATTCAATCTAACCTCGCATGATTATGCTGACAGTCACAGCTGAGTAGCTATGTCACTTGCCCAGCAAGGTGTACTACCATAACATAACTTTACACGAAGCAGCAACATTATACTCTGAATATCTCTTACAGCAGCTCAGCTTATTCCATTTATAATATCTGTTTATGTATCATGCATTTCCCCTTGAAAACTCAACCAGTATTCACATTAACATTTGGAAATCATAATCTTTCTTTGCCTCCCTGCTGCTTTAACAAAAAAATTTCCACACTTACAAGCAAAAATTTCCCTATTCAAAAATTCTCCAGCCCACTAACTGAAACACATTTGATATACGGTTAAAATACAATTATAAAATTTATCACAAAGAGATGAATTGAGGCTAACTTTGTCTAACAGTCTTGTAATGGTTCTCGGAGAACTGCAATCCACATTGTGTTTGATGCACAAATCATCTAAAATCTGCCTTGTCTCTGAAAGTAATCAATAATATATCATAAATGTAAATTACATGGTTTAACATACAGCAGAGTGTAAAATTATACAACTTTCTTGGGGTGTAACTGGCATTCACAGAAAGAGAGGATTGTTATTTAGATGAAGTCAAAAGTCTTGAAGTGTTACCTGATGTGCCAAACTCAGATGGGGGAGGCAGCTTGACATTCAATGCCTTTTCAAGATCAGGTACCATGTGAACCCTTTTAAAGGGTGGAGTAAAGTCTACTGTCAGAGGTTCACCAAGGTTTTCAGGATCAGTTGCATTTGGATGATATGTAACCACATAACCCCCTGTTAGTGACTTGACCATTCCTGAAAAACATAATAAAATATATGCTTGGTCATCAATCTATGAGGGCATTTTCAAACTGTTTTTTTTCTTTGAGTTAACAACCTTTTTCTGTGCAATATGCTCCATAATAATCTTTAGAAACTGAGCAACATTACATGAACTAGTTCAGAAATACCATCTTATGTAGTTATATTCTTTTAGATAAGCCAAAATATTTTCAGTATAGATGACTGATACTTGATATTTTGTTCTACAGAATTACTTACTTGCATACTTTTAAGAAGTTAACGTAAGGAAAGTAAGAGAATAGGTCAGCATTGCGACTTACCAGACAACAAAACTTCTGTAAGCTCCATAAGATCATTGTAATCTGCATAGGCCATGTAGAACTCGCAAGTGGTGAACTCTGGGTTATGAGTCATATCAATACCTGCAGGAAACAAAGACATGAAATAACCATTAAACATGCTCTCATTGGTCAATAGGTGTGTTTACATGAGAGAACAAAGCACTCCATTCTCATCCCTAACAACTAGTATTCTTTTCCTGGTTACCTTATTCTGACTCCGAGGTCACCACATGACCACTTTCTTAGCTCTGAGCTAGAAGACCTAATATGCAGACACAGCCCTGTCTCAAAACTCAGTTATTAAGCTTACCCTAGACCCACTTTGCTTTACAGTATAACATTCTTGAGAAAGGAAACACCCAAGTCTAACATATTATTTCCACTTTGATTTTAATAAGTGCTGAAGCACAACATGTTTGATATAGATGTGTAAATAATTTGTCTCATTAGGTACCTTCATTCCTAAACTGCCTTCCAATTTCATACACTCTATCAATTCCTCCAACAACAAGCATCTAAAGAGAAGATAAAATAAAATAAGTTAGTTTTTCTTGCAGAAACCACACCTGTCCTTTAGGTCTTCTCTTAAAAAATAGTCCAATAAACAAAAAGATCCAAAACATCCAATTCATTCATATGTCATTCAAAGTGGTCCCTTAGCAGTTCCAAACAGTCTATTTAACACCTCATGACACAAAAACATGTGCAGTTTAACTCCTTACCATGGATACAGTGATCAATTATAGCAAATAACAACATTGTACAAAACACTTGTGCCAAGTTTCCAAAAAAAATTGCTGAACAATTCTTAAACACATTCAATTGACCACATTTGTGGCACAAGCAAGAATATTTTTTCATGAACACTCATGGCACTATACTTTATTCTCTCAGTGCCTCTCTCTACCTAAGTGTATGAATACATAAAAGTGAACGTCCAGGGTAGCCTCAGTGACAGGGGATATCAGTACCACTAGTTACATGTATCTCCCGCCCAAATAAGCTGATGCAGTTTACTTGGCTCATGAGCAGGACAACACCCTTGGGATGTCTTAATCCACAATCCTCATGAGTTCAGTACCAGGCAGTGCTGAAAATTAGTGACACTATCTTGCTTACTTTGTGATACAGTTCAGGAGCAACTCTCATGTAGAGATCCATATTCAGGTCATTGTGGTGTGTGATGAAAGGTTTGGCTGCAGCTCCTCCTGGAATCATGTTCATCAGTGGTGTTTCTACCTAGTGGCAAGAACTGATTGCTTATAATAATTGCTTCATTCACATTCTTTTATCATAAGACTGTAACAAATTATTGTTAAACTCAAAAAATCATGAACATCAGGAATATTCAAAACCATTTTAAAATGTGTGGCTGCAAAAGCCAATTGAGCATGCAGGAACAGTCATACTTTTGTGGTCTTGAGATCCAATTGCAATTGCTGACTTTTGATTGTGATAGGCAAATAGATATTAAGTTTTAAGGCAACATGTTCAAAATCTAGATTCAGTTCAACATAAAATCATCTGGTCTATGAATAAGTTGCAGTGTGGTTTATGATTTCATATACAAATTACCCATTTAATTCATATTTCAAACATCTAAAGTAATTCAGTAATGCTATATACTAAGTGACTCTTCAAAAGTTTTCCAGAAATGTCAAGGTTTCCCAGGTAAAAATGGTCTGCAGACCTTATATCTTATGGGTGTATCTCTCATCTGGGCATTTTAAGGCACGGTACCATTGAAATCCACTTACTTCAAGAAAGCCCAAATTGTCAAGAAACTTCCGAATGTAATTGATGATCTTTGCTCTGACAATAAATTTTTGCCGCACTTTGTCATTGAGAATGAGATCCAGATAACGCTGTCTATATCTTGTTTCCTACAAAAAAAAAACAGAAGAAATTGTACATTTGGTAACACTCTAATCATATCAGAAAACAATGACAACAATTGCAATTTTGCCACCTAACTAATAATCTGCCCACAGAACTCTTGTGTCCTCTCTCTCTCCCCCATAACAGTGTAATGTATGCCCAAAAGTGACATTAAAACAATGGGCAATCTTCACCCTAAACATTGAGTCAGCTAAGCCAAAACAACTGTTAGGGGTTAATCAAATTTACATCATTCTTCTGGTCGAAAGTAGGTTTGATTGCACTTAAGCACAATGTACTCCAGTTTCACAATAGTGGATTTATAGGCACAGGAAATCTCTGAAGCACACCAAAGCTAAAGGCATTCAAACTCTAATATAGACTACAATAAGAAAAATTTTAATTATGCAATGCGAAATGTTAGAGTGGATACCTTATCCTTCAATCCAAAGTGAAGATGAGGGAGCATATGCAGACAAGGTGATAGCAATTGAACCTCTGATGGCAGGATGCTCAATTCACCCTTCTTTGTTTTGCCTAATGGAAAATGAATATCTTGGGGGTCAGTTTTTTGTATATTCAGGTGCCATAATTTAACATCAAGCAATCAAATGACAGTTAAAAATCCTGATACAAACTAGAACTACTCTTAGTCAATAGAAATTATTGAAAAAGAATGTTTATAAATTCCTTATCAAGCACTTTATCAAAGCTAAGGTATATAAAAAAAACAATATGAAACAAAGAAATTTAAACTGAATTAATTAAGATACCTGGTTTTCCACGGATTCCAATTATATCACCACGTCTAATCTTATTGTGGACCTCGACAAAATCTTGTTCAGCAGCTCTAGCATCTGCCATTACCTGAATCTTCACTCCTTCTCCTCTCAAATCATAAAATATTAGCTTAGCACCAGACAGACGCTTTGCATGGATTCTACCTGTTGAGAAAAAAAGATAAGGTGAAGCCATCAAGAAACTTTCAATTTTTTAAAAGCAAGCTGCAGCTGAAGGATTATTGATGTATTCTAATGGGGAGATCTAAGTAGCTTTAGGTAAATTATACATAATGGTTAGCAATTGTAAGCAATAAAGAAAAATAAAAGGGCAAAGCCTGTGTAAAGACTAGCTTTCACAGCTGCCAAGGCTGTTCTTTGTTTTTGAAGAAGAAGAAGAAGCAACAAAGGGAATTGTGAAAAGTTCCTTTAGATGAGGGAGTTCATTACAGGTTACCCAATATCAATCCACTAAGTATCCCTGACAGGCACTGTGAGCATGAATGTCTTTTCAGGAAAGCATCACAATGACCTTGGCCAAATTTGACTCAGATCTTGGATCCTGAGCTGAGCAAGACAACCTCTAGACCCATGACTCCCAAAGAAAGGTTAAATCAAAAGGGACAGGGAGTCAATTAAGCAAAAAAATCACTCCAAAAATGAGTGGGAGTCTGTGACTTGTTTGTGATACAGACTCGGTAGCATTTTCTTTTTATATCGGGGGGGGGGGAGGAAATCTTTTTGAAAAAGATGTTAAACCAGTGATGTTAACAAGGAATTCCACAAATACCTATGATGTCCAGGAAATAATATCTTAAAAAATTGTTTCAAGTATTTATCAATTAGTATCATTTTTTTCAACTCACCACTAACAGAAACCACATCATCTGACCATGTCCCATCAGTGACATCTTTGTACTTTTCAATGAATTCCGTTAATGAGATGGAGACATGAAACTTGTGAGGGTATGGAGAATCATTAGTAGCCTTCAGAGCTTGTATAGCTTGGCTTCGGATTTTAAAGTATTGCTACAAGACAAACGAAGCAAAGATTAGCAAAACACTTTCTCAAAAAAGAAACAACATTTTGCAAGCTGTATTCTATAAATTAAATATTATCAATCATTGACAGCAGCCACGATTGTTATTTAAATTATAAAAAAGACTTGACTTGTCACTGACATACCCTACAAATTTAACACCTAAAAAATTAAGTGTAAAATTGCAATGAAAAAAAGTAAAAATTTTAGGAAAAATTTAAGGAGCATATGCTGGGATTTTCAAAAAAAGCAGGTCTACCGCTGCCAGTAAAACCTCATGGCCTGTGAGCAAGCTCTCGTGTATGGGATTTGCCTCACGGCTACTTTCCGGGCAAAGCCGCCTAAAACACCATTGGAAGCCCGTTATGGAAAAGCAACTGGGACCCTTTTATGTTCTTGAAGGTCAAGCTCAACTCAAGCCAGGCTGCGTCTCTCTTGCGCGAGAATCGAGAGAAAGCAAAAGTTAAGAGGTGTGAGGATTATTTCACTTGGCGATATTTTAAGGCCCTCAGGCCCTCTGCATGGATGTAATATTTAACTTCAAGTGAAACTTTAACCTCGGTCAAGGGTGATGAAATAATGAGGCAACAACTTATTTATACGGAAGTTGAGATTTTTCTGAGAATGGATTGCATCAGAAAAATGACAAATCGTTTATGGACTACTTTAAAATAAATAAAATAATTTAGTTTTCAGAAAGGAATTGAAGAAGCAAATATATCAAATGTACAGTAATGTAGGCCTACACAATCAATGGAAAAAAATAATTAGGTTATGAATGAAAAAGCGAAAGTAACTTCCTCTTACGTTTGGATCCAATGATTCTTCGTCTAATTCATCTTTCTTCTTGTTCTCAGCTGCTTGAGAGCTAGGCGCCTTTAAAACAAAGAAAGGTGGAATGGGTCGAATGTAACCACGTGTCTCCGTTACTAAATCGCTTGAATCCAAAATATCGTCGGAGCCTTACCTCCGCTTGTTTCGCCTCCTTCTCCTTAGCTTTCTTCTCTGCTTTGAGCCTTCTCTTTAGCTCGCTGTTATCAGAGATAATTATTAAACATTCAGTAAAAGTTTGGAGGTCGAGTGATTTAAATTTATACGAGAAATATAACGTACTTCTTGCTAATGTTTCCCTCGCCACCGGCATCCGCCATGCTAGAGCACCTAACTGAACCCTCGTGTGTTCTGAATAGTGGACTCTGATTGGTCCATAAGGGCTTGAGCCTCCAAAGCGCACGCGCAGTCCGTCCAAAAATTACCCGCGAAAACATGCTAAAGATTCCGCGAAAATGATCAAGACAAATAAATTTTCTTTCATTCGGCTGACCTCCATAGCCACTTGATCGATTCCTTGCGCATTAAATGCTTGAAATTAAACTTCAGTATGGAAATTCAGGCCGAATAGTGGTCTCTTTTCTCGCAAAACCACCAGTGCCACACGTACTCGCATATTACGATCCTCTGTCCTCCTTTGAACTCGATTTCTCCCGATATTCGTACCCAGCTCTCCTCTGGAATATTCCAAAAGGGACGGGAGAGTGGGGAACTTGGTTGCGCGGGTTCAGCGTGTGCCGTAGGAATAGCTTCATTACAGTTCATTATGTTTTGCTTTATTTTTCTATTTATCAATTGATTCGTCTATATATTTTTGATGTTTTGAGCTGTGGGTGCTGGACAGAGAAATAGAGGAAATGCAAAATTTGTTTCCTAAACCTCTACAGGTCTCTAGAATCCCAAGTCTTGAATCAATTCTTTTTTCAGTCAACTATGACCAGGGTCATCTCCAATAATCTTTGTATTACACCAGCCCCAGGGTGAAATTCCTGTGACAAATTATTCACAGGGACCACCAGCATCACACAGGCCACCCAATCTATGAAGACAACTGGGTATGAGTCAGCACCATACTCCCTGATTAAAAACCTCTCAGGCATTTCATAGGGAAGGTGGGGAGGAGGGTATCTAACAAGTCATGTCAAAAATGTTGATTTCCACAAGTCAGATATCGACACTGAAATGATCGCTCAGTAACAGCGAGGAAAGAAAAACCGAAAAAACAGTTGTTAATAATTAGCAGTCAATTTTGAATCAACAGGGAGGGTCAAGTCACCCCTAAAACAATTTTTTAGAAAGACAATTTTCCACCAGGCAGATTTTTCAGTTCTAAATTTTATTGTGCCACTTGGCATATAAATGTAGCTTCAGAGTCACTAACAGTAAATATAGTGTCTAGTGTTCAAGAAAATAGTCTCTTGAATTTGCATTTAGAGTAAACAATGTAATATTACCCAATTTCTATAAAAATTTAAGGATATAAATATATGTATTGTATAAATAAAAATTGATGGTGCACTCCATAGAGATAACTTGCATTTTAAAACAATTTTCATTATCTTAAATGAGTTCTTTCCTGTTTTCCAAACTTATAAACTTGCACAAGTATGGCAATGTCTATACATATCTGAAGCAAACCACAAATCCAAAACTGAACTGGTGCAACCTTTACAAGGAAATAACAAGTTTTGAATATATCTCCTGATAGCCACATTACAACCATCTTTACACTGCAAACAGAAAAAAATAAATGTCATGCTTCAGTTTTTCAATTTGCTGCTGGTTAAAAGAAGCTTTGTTTAACCCTTTATAGCCTAACATTAGCGTGTATCTTCTCCATATGGCTAACTATACATATCCCAAGGTACTGTCAAGGAGAATTTGTTTACCAATCAAAAGTGTCTTTAGTTAAAGATCATTTACTCTATTCTTGTGACCTCGATGTGTGATTCAGGAGTGCTATTGTGAGGAGAAATTACATGTAGTCACTCCGAGGGGTCATAGGATTAGAGCAGAGGATTCACCAAGCAACCCCTGTGGTATTTCAGATGCAATAGTACAAGATCTCCAAATAAAAGGGTTCCCAATTCTTTACTGAAACACTTGGTACAACCAGCAAAGGGAAGGGAGGGGTAGAGTATGTTCAGATGACTGGATTAAAATTATGCATCATGTGACTTATGTGACAGAAAAAAGTGAAGAACAAAGTTCCTATATTGAAGAGTAAAACAAATAGCACAAGCTGGGATGGAAAAAGCTGCTCCTATGTGATGCAAAATGCATGAACTGAGGGATACAGAAAGCAAGAGCTGCAGTCTCATCATAAAATACCTTTTGACTAAGTATGGTTGGGGCAAATGAGAAAACATTTGGCTTTCAGTCATCATGCACAAGTAAAGTGCACTTGACTCAAATACTTTCCTTTCTAACCCTTCCACTCAGTCTATAAGCAGAAATATCATGCATGCAGATTCCAGAAATGGAAACATCCAAGTGCACATACCTCATCCCTACAGTGGACTGATTAACATGATTTCTGTAAAACTGAGGAACTCCAAGCATAGCTTCTGTGAACACTGCCAAGAATCCTATAAGCTCCACAAATGTTGGAAAGTTAAGGAATAAGTAGGTGACATAACCACCCACAGCCACAAATATCAGGACACATAACACATAGTCAGAAAAATGTGTCCAGTCCCAGAAATGCCTTCTGTGAAAATCTGTGTAAAGAAAAATGCAGAAACATGATGGTAAGACTCTAAAATGTTGAATGGATAAATAACATCAATAACTTTATTACACATATGGTGCAAAATATATGTGATTATTATCTTAAAATCTAATGGGTAGTAAAGTTGTCTGGTCTGATTGTCCCAAATTACAGGGTAGCTTGTTTCAGAGGGTTGCACCACAATAACCAGGAGCTGTTCAAGTAGTTTGCACACAAGTACCAACTACTTTCATTGCCTATTCCTGGAAAAATAGGATATTATATTTCTTTAATAATTTTGGATTACAAATATTGGAAAAAAAGACCAATCAAGTCTGAAATCCTGACAGATACAAATAATTCAAGGCTTTCTGTGTTGTCCTATGCAAGGAAATAGCAAACTCTAAACCAATGATACCTCATAAATGTAATTATCCAGGTAACAATGCCTTAGAAAATAACTCTTGTAGGTCAGACTGTCATTTAAATAACTTACCAATCAGTTCTATAAATTTGTTAGATTATCGTTTTCTTATTAGTTCTCAAGATGATTCTGGGAGACTGATTTATATTTACCAAGAAATGACCTCTTCCTTGCACTCATGTCACTTTCTCTTCTTATTTTGGTGCAAAGCTGTAACATCATCATCATTGCAACAATCATGACAAAGCTTTGAGCTAATAACGGAAGTTCAAATCGACGACCAAACCTGATTAAATCAAGCAAACAGATCGTTTAAAGATCAGAGCAAACATGTTAAGTATTAATCTGTACCAAAGAAAACAATGTTGGAATAAATTTGCTCTTTCTTGTAGTAAAAATATCTCTGTGGTAAAAAGTAAATTCACTATAAGGTTTCATGGACCCTTCGACAAAGTAAGAATTACAAGTAGCAGAAACACGGTAAGAAAAAAAAAGCATCTCAAAACTGGTAACGTTCCCAATTTTAAGGCTGATTGGATAAAAATTAACGAGAATCTAGTTCTGAAAATTGGTGAAACTAAAGAAGACGGCGGGGGGGCACACACTTGCCACCAAGTAAAATTTCAAATTTCGCAATCTTGTGCGGCCATGTCGTCTTTCGTTTTCACCACACTTCTAACAAACTCAGCCAAACTGTTGATGACGAAGCGATCTATAACGCAGTTCCGGTAAACTTTAGTATTCTGGTTTCTGAATGCAATTAACAAATCGGTTAAACGAATTCTCGGCAACAATTCGTAACCGGATCGTACAACGACTTACCAAAAGAATATCCTGAGTACGTTTGCAACTAGGAGAGCTAAGCACACATGCATAGAAAAGCCTTCTGCATCACGAGATTGCAAAATGTCCCAGTACTGAGGTACATACGGTACTACGCCACCAAAGACCATAGTAACCGACGAGATCCATGAGATGATTTGAACTATCATTGCAATTATACCCATGTTCTCCAATTGTGCACTTGTATCCACAGGATTGCGAAAAGCGTCGACGTCGGAATCCATACGAGCCAATATAAAGGGTTAATGTCTAAATTATTAAAAGAAGCTTTTGACGGTTTCGAATCAGTCAAGTTAATTCAGCTGTTAGTTCATTGGCGGTTGCCACAAAGATTTCTTTTCTCTTAGGCGCTGACGTGTCTCTCCTGTAATGTAAATCGGGTACAAATGCGAACTGCCTACCTCGTTATCAGAGTTAAATTTGGCTACAAAAACTTCAAAGAGATATCAACACGGATAAATTTTCTGTTGTTCTCATTTTGTTACAAAGAAAAAAAAATTGAAGTAAAAACTGAAGTAGAAATACTACAGATCAAAAGTGAAACTTCCGCCAAAGGGGTTTAGCAAGTTATTTTGGGAATTTGGAAGATTCACATGTACTTACAAGAAGAATTTAACTTCCACTGTCCAAAAGAACTACGTGTGCAAGTAGTTCCCAGGACTAACGCGGTTTGGAACAATATGGCGGCCAGATGATTGGTTGGAGCATAGACGAACATAACATTTTTAAATTACAAGCGAAGACATGGTAATCCTTAAGTTAATGACTACGTTGTGTTAAATTCAGATTCTTTTAATACAGCAGACTAACTGTCTATTTTTGATTAATGCCATTAGAATTAAAGGAAAGTTTAGCAGTTCAGCAGAAATATTTGTTGTTAAATCTCTTATCTAAGGTGGTGTATATGATTGTTTTGTTTACTCAGCATGGAAGAATCAAAGTACGTACAACAGCTGAACAAGCTGAAGCGAAGAGAAAAGAAAGGGAAAAGAAACTGAAAATTTACACAGAAACAACAAGCCGCATCTATGAAAAGGTAATATGTTTTTTCATTGCTTGACCCATTTTTTTCACTCCCATTCCGATGAAAATTCTTCCTACTGTCCGTCATACATTTTTTATAAAGTCTGTATTTTCTGAGAATTTGATGTTCAAGTGAGGTCAACTAACAATTCCCCTAATTGATATTTTTCTTTATTCTCATCACTTTTCTGCTTGATATTGTATTGATATTGTAAGGAGAAATTCTCCCTTGTCACTCATGAGGGTTTAAGGGTTGAACCGTTCTTGAAATGAAAATTCACATTCATCATGAAAGTGCCAATTGAAGTATCTTAAAATATGCTGTACTTTCAATGTTATGTGGAAGGACTTGCAGTTGGCACTTTCAATACCTTCTTGGTTCTGGAGTGCTGGAGTAAGAGTTAACAGAATAGGACCATTAATTTGTTTGTTGTACATACATATATCTTCACTTAACAACTATTTCATGAGCACAGATTGGATGTGAATTGGCTGTAACCAATCTTGAATCCAACAAGAGAATATGGAATAATTATTTTATTGAATTTCATTAAATCCTATTCATTTGTGTAATTAGAGAACAAATGTAAAGCCAAATTTCCCCCTCCAAAAGTGTTGGTGCAATGCAGTGTTAGTGAAGTGAACCAATCAGAACACTCAAAATACAATATTCAAAATGTAATATTTGGATCACTGTGTTAAAAGCACCTTTATTGCACATGGAGTTTGTTGATGCAATAGCAACAAATGTGTTAAAGTTACCACAAAGAAAAATAAGCAATCATATACCAAACAAACAAGCAAACAAACAAATAAATAATGATTTACTGATTGGGTTTTCCATTTTTTATCAGAGAAAGAATGGAGAAATGGACAAGGAATCTCTCTCTTTGTCTGAACAGGTCCTTGCAGCTAATCCAGACTTTTCAACTCTCTGGAACTTCAGGAGAGAGATTTTCCTCCATAAGAGAGATGAGAAGTAAGCACTGCTAATTGATATACTGAGTGAATTGACAGGAAAGCCACCTGACTACTGGCTGTTGGTAGATAAATCATCATTGTTTCACCATTTGATAAATGTAATGTTGATTAATTTTTAAGTCCACCAGATGTAATACAAGACCTTTGCAAGAAGGAGTTGTATTTCCTCAAGAACTGCCTCCAGGTGAACCCAAAATCATATGGTGTTTGGCACCACAGACAATGGATCATGGAATTCATGCCTCAGCCTAACTGGAAGGAAGAATTGCAACTTTGTAATAAGTTTCTATCATATGATGAGAGAAATTGTAAGTGCATCACCACAATTTTATCAAAGTTACTTAGAAAGAGGAATGAATAAAGGGATAAGTTTCTAAAGAAACTGTGGTGCTGCGTCGGTGGGAGAGTATAGCAGGTAATTTAGTGTTAACAACTGGGTTGAAAACGTAAATTAGCCACCGTAAAGGCTAAAAAAGCTGACGCTCTGACGAAGGTCTAACGCTCAAAACGTCAGCTTTTTTAGCCTTTACGGTGGCTAATTTACGTTTTCAACCCAGTTGTTAACACTAAATTACTTACTTAGAAAGAGACAATCACACATAAATTCTCACCTTCTAATCTGATGTCTTTTGAAAACGGTCTTTTTTTCTAGAGCATGGACTTCATTGTTTGTGTTCTTCTGGTTGTTTAACCCTTTAACTCCCAAGATCTCATCAGTAATTCTCCTTATTGTCTACCAAATGATTCTCATTATGTTAGTTTGGAGAATTTGGTATCAGATCAATTAGTAATCCCATAATTGATATTTTTCTTTATTCTCATCACTTGTCTGCATTATGTTGTATAGATATAGTAAGGAGAAATTCTGTCTTGGTCACTCACGGGATTTGAGGGATTAACTCATCACTCATTATTACAATTATGATTGTTGTACCACATACATTTAGAAATATAAAAATTCTGCAGAACAGTCTGTCCTGTGCTAATGACTCTTCAGATAGTGGTGATAGCACCAACTTCCAAGTTGCTATGTAATTTTAACATCATAAAAAGCTAGCCCTTAAATCCTGACATCTGAAAGTAGATTCTTCCAATTGATGTCATTATTATTTGCTGGCCAGTCTTAGAAATTTGGTGTTAAATCCAAATAATTTTTTCAACATACTCCTTTTAAAATTCCAGTGCTCCTCTGTCTGATCACTTATGGAGTGATAGAAGTAAAGAACCTCTTCTTTGATAGTTTGACATAAATTCTGCCACCTTTTAACATCTTCTGATCAATTTTATTGAGGGATTTTGTTCATTTTACCCCCAGTTCACTGTTGGGATTACAGAAGATACACAGTACAGAAAGCAAATGTATCACCGCATGATGAATTCAACTTTAGCACAGAGAAGATCAAAGAGAATTTCTCCAATTATTCCTCATGGCATTACCGTAGCAAACTTCTTCCATTGATTCATCCTGATCAGAGTGGAGACAGAGAGAGAGTGGAAGAGGGAGCACTCATGAAAGGTATAACTAATATACTGTTAAACTCAGAAAGAAGTAACTTAATACAATTTACATTGACTGGAATCCAGACCATCCAGGCAAATGAATGAAATCCCATCAGAGGACAAAACTGAAACAATAGATTCCAACCTTTTCAAATCCAGTAAATACATATGTGAAATGTAGGGTTAAAGACATTTAAATCTCAACTCACTTATAAACAGTGTCAGGTAAATGGCAAGTTTACTTTCTTGGTGTTTTAGAGGAGCACTTCAATCAACTGCTGGTGTAACTTCACTGATAGGACATACTTGCTATAGCATACTATTACCACACTTAATCATAACCATTACAAATTCCTCAAATTTTTTGGGTGTATTTGCAGCTTCATTTTTCACTAATCATTCTGTACAGTTTTAATCAGACAGTGTAATCAGACAGTTTGCTGTAATCAGACACCAGTAATTGGACAGTTCAAGCAGCCAATCATGTTAAGTCCACTCAGCTAATCAACCAATCACAGAAATGATCAAAATAACCATAGAAACAACCACTTATCCAAAGAAAAACTGGGGAATTTCCAAAATGGAGGAATTTTTAACTAAATACATTGTCTCCACTGGAGATATTTGTTCTAAATGTGTTTGTTTTTTTCGGAAATTGAAATGATTATGATTAATTGGCAATAAGTGATTGACAAGATCAGAAGAGCACGAATTGGTCATCCAATTTGTTCATCACGAGTATGGTTATAGACAGAATTGGATGACAAGAAGTGCTGTTACCATTATGAACAATGTGATATACAAAGCATTATTTACTCTCTGAATTATTAACCAGGGTGTTTTTTGTGAAAAAATGATAAAAATTTTAATTTACTGTAAAAACCTGCAGATAAGCCGCACCATTTTTCCAAAAATCGTTGCCAGAAATTGGGGGTGCGGCTTATCTTCAGGAACATTCGAAAAAGGTGTGCCATTTTCGCATACAATTTAATGCCTGGGTACTAAGCTTGGAATGTTCCACTCATGCTCTTGTTGTAATGCAAAAATCTATGGAAAAACTGTGTTGAATGAATAAATTCCTGTCCACAAATACCAGTAAAAGATCAATCATATGTCAAAGTTGATAGAAACAATGTTCATTATATTAAAGTGCTAAAATTGTGGGCAAGACTTTGAAGTATTTTCCATTGCAATGTTAATAGTGAGTTTACATTCAATGAACAGTGGATGAAGAAGACTTCCTAAGACTCAACTTTGGACTTCTTTTAATTTTTTTCAAAAAACTTTTTTTCCAAAAATTTGAGCCACTATATTAAGGGTGTGGCTTTAATCTGCAGGTTTTTACAGTAGTTGTTAATTACACCCTAACATCAGTATCCATATTCTCCTTACTCTCCTCTATATGCTTCTTTTGGTACTGACAAGGAGAACACATTCAAGATCTCAGCCTCTTAGTTTGGCAATCATTTCCTTTATTCTCATGATCTTAGTGAATGATTCAGCAGTATTACTGTTAGGAGAAATGAGATGCTGGTCGCTTTTAGGGTTTAAAGGGTTTAAGAGTACTATTAATTTTGTCATGTTCTATTTCAGAATTTGATCTAGCTCAAAATGCTTATTTCACTGACCCCTATGATCAGAGTGCTTGGTTCTATCACAGATGGCTTTTGGGGAGAGGTATAATACACTCTATCTTTAGTTGGTGTTTAGTATTGCATATAACTGTACCTTGTTTGAATTGGAAATCGAGTGCCCAGGGCCTGTTTGTAAAAAGGGTGGATATTGCTATCAAACAGATTAAATTGCTATCCAGAGGATTAAGTATTAAGAAAACCAACTTTTCTTTTTCCATCACAGAGAGATCTATCCAATGGATAGAGTTATCCACTCTTTGAACTACTGGGGCTTGGTGACAAATGTACTGAATTGTGGATCAAGAGGTCTGGGTCCAAGCCCCAACTAGATCACTTTATTGTGTTCTTGGGCAAAACACTTTATTCTCACAATACCTCTCTCCAACCGGGAGTATAAATGGGTACTAGTGA